ATACGGCTATCAGTTCCGTATAGCTGCGACCTTTGGCGCCCAGCAGCAGCAGCGCCAGCGCGGACATAATGCTCAGCGGTGAGAATACGGTTGTTTTCCGATTACTGCTGTTAATCTGCTTGGACAGATTTTGCGCGAAGGTCAAAATATGCCGTGCAATATCATCCGAGGCGGCCACATCCACATAGCCCGCACTCGAATCCAAGCGCGAACCGGAATCGGAACCCGCACTGTAGCTATAGCTGGGACTAGCATATTCAGCGGGCGCTGACAAACTGGCGACAAGGCCAGGCGACAACAGTGGCGGCAGCGTCGAGTGTGCATTATAGTATTTCTGCACCAGGGCCTGATTCTCCTGGTTGCGTATATCGCGGAATAGCTCTAGGTCGGAATTTCCCATGGAAAACAGGCAGGCGAAGGCCAGCAGGCCGCCGCACAACGAACGCAACATTTTCTAAATTTATGCTTATCTTCAGTTACGACTTTTTTTCACCCTATATATATATATATGTATATATAGTAAGTGTGTGTGTGTGTGTGTGTGTGTACACTGAGTGAACGCGCACGCGATGTTAACGCCTTTAAAGCTGCTGTTAAACTGAGCTTGTCACGCTTCGCGCACCTCAATTTATAAGTTGATGCGAAAAATAAAACTCGTTATCAACAACAAGTGCGATCCCAAGCCGACAAACCGCCCCTCCCCCCGTCCAGCCCCTTCGCACTGCCCCATCTGCCACAGACAATGCTCAGCTGGCAACGCTCTCTGTTCTCGCCCATTGATGACAAACCATTGCATTGGCGTTTAAAGTAAAAAAAAAAAAAAAATGAAAAAAAAAAAAAACAAATACATAGCTGCTGGGTAATACCCCATTATTGTTTACATGGCCTGCACTGAGATTTCTTAATGGTTGATCCAATTACGTATCGGGTCTAATAAGCGTTCTGTATAGTATAGGCTCTCTCTCTCTCTCAGGCTCTCTCAACTGTTATTTTAACATAAAATCCTCTCTCGGCGAAGATTCGCTTGTGCGGATATGTTTTCACAGTCGATACCCACACAAAAAGGGTCCACTGACTTTCTGCACAGGCTTGGAACAGTTGGTTATTTTTTTGGCTTTTGATTTATTTTTATTTTAAACAACTTTAATTTTAAGCTTATATGAACATTTACAAATCTACTGAGTCTAAGAAAGTTAGTAGAAAGCATCTTACGTAATTACTTCATTAATGGATCTTCTATATGTACACTATTTTCAATTATCAATAAAACCCTTTTGCTCTAAATCGATAAGTATCGATACAGATTATATCATAGTATCAAAATCGATAACAGATGTTATCCTTGTAACAAACTCGATAAGTATCGATAAGGATTATATACTAAGATACAAATCGATACGTATCGATACAGATTATATCCTAGTAACAAACTCGATAAGTATCGATAAGAATTATATGCTAAGATACAAATCGATACGTATCGATACAGACTATATCCTGGGGCAGGCAAAGCTCGCATCAAGCATCAACAGAAATTCGATGTTGTTTACAGGGTATCCACTAGTCGGTCGGCTATTTGCTTTTCAGCTGTTTCACGCTCTTGAACTTCTTTCAATGCGGTCAGAATGCTAATGCTTGTCGCTCTCTGCTTTTTTTTCGGACCTTAACTGTTTGAGCAAATATTTACAGATATTAATATTCATGGGCTATTCGTGTAGATTCTACAAAAATTTTGGCGTTGACAATGCACAGGATGGCATTATATATATTGATTTATTGGCTTTACGTACAAGACAAGAGATTTGTCATTTACCGCTTGGGGTTTACTGGGAAAGTTGGCTTGCCTCAGCTTTTGTGATAATGCGGGTGTTTTCCCCTTTCGCAAAGAAACAAATATATAGTTCTTTTGCATACGTTACGTAGATGCTAATCCGTAATCTATGGCTGGTAAATTTACGAAATCGATTTCTAAGATTTTCAATTTTAAACTTTTTTTGAATAAGTCATACTTTATAATATTCATTTTGTTTTCCATTTCGTTTCGTTCAGCTAATTAATCAAAATTTGACAGGTCTGACGGGTTACGTATTAAAATGTGTAAATTAATCATTTATAAAGCAGATCTTTCTACTAAACAAAGTATTGTTGCCCGCTCTTGATGCCAAATCAATGAGATTTGACCAAGTTGTGGGGCTGGGAAATTTTTATCTATGTCTCTATATAGCATATTTTAAATGAATTAGCTGCCAAATTGCTTGAATTCAAATGTGTGCATGTAATTATGTATGTATGTATGTATGTATGTATGTGTGTGTGTGTGTGTGTGTGTGCATATATGTATGTATGCATGCATATAAATTGTCTTCTATACCTAAAGCAGATCGAATTGTCTTGTTGCGCGGCAAGAATACGTATTTATTAAAAGCTGCCCTCCTCCTCGATTCTCAAAAATGTAAGTAAGGCTTGCAAATTTTCGCCTGTGAATAAGGCGCAGGCGGCTTCAATGCTGGAAGCTGAGGAGCCGGTGGAGCAAGGCGGAGGAGCACTAAGAGGGCGGAGCAGGAGGCGTCTGTTTGTAGGTATGTATGTATGTATGTATTTATGTATGTACATATGTATGTAACTATGTAAGTATGTATGCATGTTTGTATGTATTTATGTTATAAAATGTATAACTAAAAGCTTAGTTCTTTCACATATTTATATTCTCAAACGAAAAATAAAAACCAGTTGGATTTCGTTTGCATCTATAAAAGCCATTTATTTGTTTGTTGGATAAACAGATTTTAGAATATGACAATAAACGTTATTTATTATTAAATACTTTCGGCATGGCTCGAAATAAACTTTTCTATACCGTCTACCAAGTCCAGTAAACGTTGTCGATTTTTTGAAAGCCCAGCTTTTCAAACATTTTTCGCGATGGGGTGTTTTCCGTGACAACAGGTGCCAGGACCTCGTCGCCCATTTCAGAGATTTTCTTGGATAGGTAACGCACCATCAAACTGCCCAGGCCGAGGCGCTTATGGGATTCGAGGACCTGCAGCAAGCCCAGCGAACCAATTGGCAATCTAAAACAGAAACATAAGGCTTAAGATATCTATACGTAAATCTGTACCAAGTATCTTTTGAACCAGTTTAAGTCCGGAATCAAAATTGTTCATTGCATGAACCAGGCTAAAAAACAGTCGAACCTAAATCTGAACTGAACCATTTTTTGATCATTTCATTCTTTTCTGCTTATGTTCAATTCAAGCCTGTCAAATGTGGTAAATTTTCAACAATAAATTAACTATTTTATTTACAAATGCCCGTTGTACTGAAAATATAGCAAATCTTACTTATTTTCATATGCAAGAGCAGGGCTACATTTAATATTTTTCCAAAGTTTGTATCCATTAAAAATAATTAGATAAATGAAATGATTGGGTACAAAGTTGTCATTATGTTTTCTGGTTGGATTTTTGGTTCAAAAGTTGTTTAAAGTTTGATTCAAGTTGAAATTCCAGCATTGAGCCGGTTCAGCTCAATTACGATGTGAACCAAAGTTCGCGAACCGAACCGAACCAAACCGAACAACCTTACATTTTGCTAGCTTTGCAGCTTTGATGCGTGGTGATATTGAAGCGAAACTCACCTCAAGCACCAGGCTATCAATTTGCCTTGCTCGTCATAGGCGCCCACCGAAACGTTGTGGATTATTAACAGTTTGACAAACTCCACGGAGCCGGCGGAACGATGTGGCCAGATTTCATTTACGGTTGGAGCATCTTCTAAGCACAAGCCGCGCAGCTCAATTCCAGCAGGTGGCCTTCAAAATACAAGTGTTTATGTAATAACCAAATGGACTACAATTAACTAACTTACTCCGTCGAAAAGGTAGCCACCAGCTCTTTGCTGGCACTGTACCAAGCTGTCTGCGTGGTTTCTTGCCGTAAGTTCGGCAATTGCTTGCGGCAGATCTCTACGGCGGGCAGAAGACGCTGCGCATAGGCAGCGAACAAGTATGTCTCCTCGGGCTTGGCTGTCAAACAGAGCAGCGCATTGGTCAAGCGATCCAGGTTCGAGCTCAGCGTATTGAAAGAGACTTCTTTGTGGAACGCCAAGTGTTTCTACAAAACACACGTCGCATTACATACTTCATACTTTTCTCTGAGCTGCATACGTACAATCATTAGGAAAGTGCCATCATTTTGCCAGTCGCCGTCCAGCGAGAAGCACTTAACATCAGTTTTGTCGCCATTGGCCAACCAAGTAATATGGGTTTTTATTAAATAATATCCATTTGATTCCGTCTTTTTACACTCATAGAGTTCGAGTAAAGTTTTCCACTCGCTTGGCGCTATCTCAACCAGAGTATGGGATTTATATTGCAGCTGCGACATGTCCGACTCGCCGAAAGGCTGTAACACAACTGCCTCAATCTAAGCATTTCGTACATATGTAAAGCTGTTTATGTACATATGTATGCGTTGATAAGCTTGTATATGTGTGTGTGTGGGTGTGCTATTTAACAGCTGGCACGATTATTTTAACATTGCACAAAGGTTCTGTAAAGAACAACGAAAATCTGCCTGGCTTTATGGCTTGATTAAAACTATATGATTTGATAAGGCCTTTAGTTAGATTAAATGCCCTAGTCAAAAATTTGATATTCATTTGCTTTCTTTATTACTTTTCATTCAATTCTCTTATGCTTTGAGCTTCATTTTATATATTTTTAATATCATTAATACTTCTTGCTTATATGCATTTTTGCGCTACTTTGTGCAACAATTTTATAATTTGGGATTTATAAATTTTATCAAATATTTAATTGTAGCTCGATCAGGACGCGGGCACAACAGCCCAATATATATCTTGGATATGCTTAAATCCCAGCTTATCAAACAATTTTCTAGATATTTCATTGTCGAAGACAATTGTGGCCAGAACCTCGGCGCCGGTTGCTGCAATTTCCTGAGCCATAAAACGCACCAACAACGAGGCCAGTCCGCGACGTCTGTGCGGGGGCAGAACATACAAATTACTTAGGCTGCCGTGTGAAGATCTGCGAAAGAGAACCAGGTATTAGTAGGTAAATAAACATATATGTACTAATCGAGATTACCTTAAGCACCAGCCCAGCAGCTGTCCCTCGCTGTCGAAGGCACCTGCGCTGATATTATGCTGTATGAGATTTCTTATCAACAACAAAGAGTCATTCGAGCAATAAGGCCAGTGGGCATCCACTGCGGCAGCATGTTTTATGTGCAAGGAACCCAATTTGATGTCTGAAATTGGGCTAATCAAAAATGTCAACAAACAAGAATTCTTATAAGCAGTATTTACTTACCCCAGATCAAGTTGTTTGATTTCCGAATGTGGCAAATGATATACAAGTGTTCCTTGATGTTCCAGTTGGCCTAAGCTCAAACCTTTGCCCAGCCAATATTGTTCGACAACGTGTTTGAAGCGAATTTCATAACCGCAAAACAAATGTCTCTTATTTAGTTGCCAAGAACTGAGCAACAATTGCAGCTGGTCCAAAGATTCGCCCAGTGTATTCAAGTGAATCTCCGCCTTGTTGCCAAAACTGTGCTGTGATACATAAATATTTAAAAATATAATATAAAAATAAATAAAAACCTATTTACAACTAGCAAAAAGCTGCCATGTTTCGGCCAATTGGCGTCTGTCACATAAATTTCTACATTTTCACCACACTCTGACAAACAGATAAAACTGTTAATTAAGTCGTAACCCGTTAGATTCGTACGATCGCTTTGATACAAATCTCTCAGCAGCCTCCACTGATCGCGAGCGATTGCCAACATTTTTATGATTGAGTGCTTAAGAGAAACTCGCTTTAATATAAATTAACAGACCGAACACGTTCGAGGCGTAACGCAACTGCAACTGCAACGAGGTTCGACTCAGTAATTCTCTCATATTCCATTTCAATGCGCCGCACACGTCAATTCGCCGCCCTGTCCAATTCGCCGATTCTTAAGCAGCAGCAGCTTTGTTATCGATAATTTGTGATTTGAAGGAAGTTTTTAAAGCCCGCGTATTTAAATGTAAATAATTAACACCATGTACAAGTTTGCTGATCACAATAAGATTTATTAAGCTACCAAGTGCTCTGAAATTATTCTGTGCCCGCCAGCCCAGAGCTATTCTTGGTGTTATATAAATGTCTCGCTTAAATGCATATTTAAAAACTAATTGGTTTTGAGTTGCATAACTTTCGATCAATAAGCCGGCACCGTGGTAAAATATATGTTGTCAATGAGCTTGAATCCCAGCTTTTCGAAAAATATTTGCGATATCCTATTGCCAAACGCAATTGTGGCCAAAACCTCAGCGCCTGTTGCTGCAATTTCTTGAGCCATAAAACGCACCATCAACGAGGCCAGTCCAAGACGTCTGTAAGGGGGCAGGACATGCAAATTGCTAAGGCCGCCTTGCGAGGATCTGTCAATGGAAATCATTTGTAAGTGAGTGTAAACGTACTATTTCAAATTATTACCTCAAGCACCAAGCCAACAACTGGCCGTCCCTATCGAATGCGCCCACGCTGATATAATTTCTAATGCGATCGCTTATCAATGCTAGGGAATCGTCTGAACGGTGGGGCCAGTGCTCATCCACTTGAGATGCATGTTTGATGTCCAGGGGACCGAAACTGATATCTGCAATTAAGCTGAAAAGCTTGTAAGTAAATTATAAAATATCATCGCGAACAGTATTTCATCTTACCGGCAATCAAATGGTTGAATCGCCGATTGTGGCAAATAATAGACAAATGTTTCTAAATGCTCCAGCTTCTTTAGCTTCAAACACCTTTCCACACAATATTTGTCCACAATATTTCTCAAAAGATGTCTATAGCCGCAAAACCAATGTCTGCTGTTTAATTTCAAGGAACTGAGCAGCGCTTGCAGTTCCAACAAAGATCCATTTAGCGTATTGAAGAAAACGTCTGCCTTGTCATTCGAATTGTGCTGTAATGTAATTTATAATTAATAAATACAAAGCGCATATGGTTAATAATACTAACAATTAGCACAAAACTTCCGTGCTCCAGCCAATTGTCGTTTGTTGTATAAATTTTCACATATTCTGCCTGATCCGGCCAGTAAATATAGTTATTAATTAAATCATAGCCCGTCAGACTTGTACGATCGTTTCGATACAAATCTCTCAGCAGCGTCCAATCATCGCGAACTAATTCCAACATTTTAAATAGTAATTTCTCTTCAAAAACATATGATTAATTGTTAGAACGAAACGCTTGCTCCAGCGATTACGAACTGATTCTAAAATGGCAAATTGTTTTTCAAAAACCGCTTATGCAATTATTTACTATGTACGGCGTGTATATTAAATAAGTTCCCTTTTTCGAATTGTCGCAACAGTAACAGAAATCACAGCCTCACAATTGGGAGAGTCCAGTCCGCATACTTTCTCAGAGAACATTTTTGTTGCGGATCGTACGAAAGGGAAGCACTTATGAAAGTACATCTGCAATGCTATTAATATTCATCTGGCGACCAACGAGAGTGACCGTGACCCAGGCAAATTTGCTGGCGTCAAATTTATGAGTCTCCATCGATTATTCAAAGCTCTTCAAAAGAAACCGTGCCAAAAGTGAAGAACTCTCAGCATATGACAATGGTTGGTAAAAGTTCTCTTTCCATATTGCAGGTGCGTATTCACAGTTTTATTTTTTAGTCTGTTGTTTATCCGCTTATGTGAAGGCAACTATAACTTTCTAGCCAGTCCAGTAGACGTTGTCGATTTTCTGAAAGCCTAGCTTCTCAAACAATCTCCGCGACGGCGTGTTTTCCGTGACAACAGGTGCCAAGACCTCGTCGCCCAATTCAGAAATTTTGCTCGATAAAACGCGCACCATCAAGCTGCCCAAGCCGAGACGCCTGTGAGAGTCCATGACTTGCAGCAAGCCCAGCGCACCAATTGGCAATCTGCAAAGGGCATCAATTAGATACAAGCTTTATTTAGTTAACTGGCAATTAGATTACCTTAAGCACCAGGCTAACAATTTTCCATAGGCATCATAGGCACCAATTGAAACATTGTACTCTATCAGACGCTTGACAAACTGCACAGAATCCTTGGAGCCATAGGGCCAGTTCCCATTTACAATGGCAGCATCGGCAGTATTCAAGCTGCGCAACTGGATTCCAGCAGGTGGCCTTAAAGCACAGAATCGTCAATGGATACTACAATGGATAATTTATGGCTTTTATAATCATACTCCGTTGAGAAGGTAGCAACAAGCTCTTTGCTGGCTTTATACCAAGCTGTTTGCGTTGTTTGCAGCTGTCGGTTGGCACATTTTCTGATGTAGGCATCGACCGCGGGCACAAGACGCTGGCTATAATCATGGAGTAGATATTCCACAGCTCCAGATGGCAAACAGAGCAGCGCCTTGGTCAAACGCTCTAGGCTTTCGCTGAGGGTATTAAAGAACACCATTTTTCGCTGGCTTCCATTGCCAACCTATAAAATAAAGAATAACAATTAGTATCATGTGGAGTCGGATATATTTTCTAGCAAAATACTCTGCACACTTATCGAGTCTGTTTTTATGTACAATCATTAGAAAAGTGCCGTCGGTTTGCCAGTCCCCGTTTAGTGATAAACATTGAATATCCAAATCGGGTTCTTTGCCCTGCCATTTGATGTAATTGCTTATTAACGGATATCCAGAAGATTCCGTTTTTTTGTTCGCATAGAGATTGAGTAAAATGCACCATTCACTGGGCGCTATCTCAATAAGTGAATCACAGTTAATATCCAATTGCTCCGACATGTCTGCGCTAATTAACAACTGAGTTTAACAATAAATTTCATGAATTAAAATGCTCAGTGAATTTTCAGAAGCAGGTTTTTGCGGTTTAATGTAAGAAAACAATTGCAATTAACAGTAACTGATATTCAGCGTTGCCAACTGTTGATGATCATAGCTAGCAGAAATGGCTGATGTAAATAATCGCACTTAACATCATTTGTGTTATGGTTTTGCAGCAACTTAGATTCAGCGCTGCCAACTGCCGAAGATTATATCGAACAACAAAAATGTTGCTATAAATATCAACATTCACACTAGGAACTCGGCTAAAAAATGGTTGAAACTTTCTCGTTCTATTAATTCATATTTTCAAACTCTATACCTTCAGGTGTTCAGAAAACCATATCTGCGTGAAAGTTGGCAACATTGATTTCGATTTTTGAGCAGCTGATTAAATATCGATAATTCATATCGAAATTAGATGAAGCAACGTTTTCTGCGCGCAGAATTCAATTCTCGTCGAAATGGACATCAAAGAGCTGCACTGGCTGCAGCAAGTTGTGCCCTTAGCTTACAGAGCACTGGAAGTACTCGCAAAATGGCCAAAAAAGCGCCCCTGGCCATCACCTTTGACAGAGCAAGGAGAGGAGACGAAGTCGCCGCCGAGCAAAAGGAGGCGAACTGTGGTCCACGCTGAGCGCAGCAGCAATCGCAAAATTTGGGTAAAACAGGAGAATCTGAGTCGCGATATTGATGGCCTGTTTGCCACCACCTTCCACACTGCACACAACCAGGATGAATTTCGTCTGCGCACAGGCATGACTCTGCAGGTGTTTGATATGCTCTTCAGTTTGGTGGGCGAGCAATTGAACAAGAACTCCATACGCAGACCCATACCGCCGGAGTGCAGGCTCTTCCTAACGCTGGTGTGAGTATATTCCGTGTGAGTTTCTTAGGTTTCAAGCATACTCTATTTGCAGCTATTTATCCAATGCAGAGCGTGTGCTGGATTTGTCAAAGGCCTTCAAAATGGGCAGCTCCACAGTGCGTTGCATTGTGCAAGAAACAAGCGAAGTGCTGTGGAACACGCTGGCACCAGCTTTTCTACCCCAACCAAATGTGGAGGATTGGAGTAACATTGTTGCGGGCTACCAGGCGACATGGCAAGTGCCACATTGTCTGGGCGCAGTGGATGCCAAGCTACTGGACATCTCCTACAAAAGCGAAAATGATATGATACTGTTGGCCAGCTGCGATGCGAATCTGAACTTTACGTGCCTTGACATTGCCACAGTGACCGATGCTGTCAACAATCAGCTCCACTGGCATCAGGATTTCGGCGCGGCGTTACTGAGCCAGCAATTGGGCGACCTGTTGCCCGCAGAGCCATTGCCGGAGGCTGAACAAAAAACCAACTTTATATACACATTCATAGCTGGCGCGTCGTTTCCCATGCTCGAGCATCTGGTTACGCCTTATGTAACGCAGCGGTTGGACCAAGATCAGCTACATTTCAATCAGCATTTGTCGCGTGCTCTAGCTGGTAGCATCGATAAGGCTTTCAGTGTTCTAATGTCACGTTGGCGTGTCCTTTCCCTACCCCTGCGTCAGAGTCCAACCAATGCCGAGAAGATCATTCGAGCTGCTGTTGTGCTGCATAATTTTGTAAAACTGCATGATGAGACCTACTGTCCAGCCAGTTTTCTGGAGGAGGTGCCAATATGCCCTGCCAAGCACAAGGTACCCAATGAATGGCTTTGCAGCCTGCCACAGCCGCCAGTCAAATGTAATGCAACAATTCAATTGCGCGAAAGCATGAAGAAGATTGCAGGCTGTAAGCTGGAATCAAAAATAGTTGAGGCGCTCGTTGACTGTGTGGAATGGACAGCGCAGTAGAGGATACTACAACTGGAAATTTAAGTTGCTGGATTGGTGCTTTCACATATGGACATTCGCAGAAAAAATTCCAGTTCCTAAAGAGTTTTACCCAAATCTCTGCCTGCGCGTAGTTTGTCGCTCCGTGTTCCAAGTTTATAGGCAAATTTGGAAACATGATTTTAGCCAAAAGCTTTTTGAGAGCTTGATTAGGAACTATACAGCTTGATATCTTTACCAAAGTAGATCTATAATCTTATCAAAAAAAAACGTGAATCACTTAACTCACACTTGACGCCACGTTACACATAAACTGCAAGCGTCTTTATTGAAGGGGACAATTTATTGACATTTATTGTAGCAAGAAATACATTGATAATAAGAAATCATATATAATTTTATAAAAAAGAATCAATACATATGGATACAGTGATTTAAAGCATCAGCATGCGTAACTATCAAAGGGTAGACGTTCGTCAACATGGCCAACAATCAGCATTAGCTCCAGCTGCAACTTGTAGCTGCTGCTGTCTTTTCAATTCAATACTCCGTCGGCGCGAACGTTCAGTGCATCCAAAAAGGCGCCCATGGGCGTAGATGGTCCAAAGCTCTCAATGGTATTTGCCAGCTTGTTCTTGATGTTGCGCAGCCGCAGCGAGGCATGGATAAAGGTCACCGAGATGGGCAGCAGCAGGGTAAATGCGGTCAACAACACGGCGCTAATCATGTGCAAAAACAAATAACCGGCCAGCAAGGCACCCGCCAGGATGTACCACTTTTGCTGAGCATTCTGTTGGGCCAGGATTTGATTGCCGCCAGTGAGCCGGCTGGCTATGAAATTCGTTTTCGACTTGCTGCTGAAGAACTGCCAAATGATGGCAATGATCAGGGCCTGTACTAGCAAGCCGCTTATGATTTTCGTCGGATTGAAGGCAATCATAATCACATAGATGGCCAGAAAGACAAGAAAATAGTTGGTTTGATAGTACAGCAAGTTCTTGACCACACGATTGCCCCACTTGTCAAAGTCCTTCAGATTGGGCAGCTGAAAGCGCGCCGAGCCCAGCACAAAGTCATCCAGAGTGCGCAGAGGCGGCAGCTGCAAATTGCCAGAGAGCGCTGCGGCCGCATCGCCAACTGAAGAGGTTGTTGGTGCCGACATCGCTTTGGGGTATTTGCTGTTGTTCAGCTCTTGGGCGAGTTTCTGGTAGTTCACTTGACGTAGTCCACGCTTGATTTGCTGCAACTCCTCTAGGTCAAACAGCTGAGACGCCAGCTGCCTTAACTTAGGCCGCAAGCCAAAACTACTCGATGCTCGGCCTGCTTTGGGCAGAAGATGTGCACGCTCGTCGTTATTATGCCAAATGTAATCTTCCTCGGAATCACTGCAGTTGCTGTTTTGTGTGTCCAGCGTAAATCTTGGCAATTTCGCAACACTTCACGCGTTATTTGAGTGTGTGGCTTTTTAGCAAATACAACAAATATCTTTAACAAGTTGACTCATGAGATTCCCTCACGTGAGTCACCCTGTGCTCAATATTGCCTGCATGTCAGCGTATCGATGCTTTGCAAAACAAATTCGGATCGATGCTGGTATCGATTCTCAACTTAATGTTTATTTATAAACTTGCCACTAATTCAAATTATTTGGATTAAAACAAAAGAATTTCATTTATTATTTAGCAATTTTTTTCAGAATCTTCGTAAACTTCTGCTCGCTTACGAAATTTGAGGTTTATTAAAATTATAATTATTATTAATCAAATTGCATCAACTTGTTCTTCAGCCATCTATAAATTGCTTATCGTTTTCACAGTATTTGCATTATTTGTAAATCAATAAAGTTCTACCAAAACTAGTTTAGACACTTTCTGTATTTTGTCATGATGTCTTCATTTCTATTTAATTTGTAAAATTAAATTATTCAAACGTAAGTACAGCTAAAGCAACACATGTGTATGAAAAACCTAATGAAAAAAAAAAAATTGGAAATTGTTTCGAAAAGAATTTTGGGGGTGAATCGGTGTTCGGGGCACCGTTAGACGAAGGTGAACATAAACATTGTTAAACAATTATGTTTATATTCGTGATTAAATTAGGAATATGTGTAAAGTGTTTAACCTCCTATATCCCGCCCAATTTTTCTGGGACGTGAGGACTACGACTACTTCAAACTTGGTTCAAGTTTTTTGGTAATGCGTTTTTAGCTGGTAACACAATGATTTTAGTTATCGTTCTTTTGCTTGCTTTTTGTTGTTGTTATTTGTTGTTGTTTTTAGTGTTTTTTTTTGGTGTCAGAGGTCGGTTACGCTTCCAGGTCATTGACGAAGAGCACCTCACGATTCTTGAGGCCGACCTCCTTAAGTGTCTTGTTGACGATATCATTGACGGCGCACTCGGCGGCGTCTATGGCCGCCTTGGAATAGAGTACACGCTTGGGGAAATTCGTTGTTATTTCGAATTCATCCGGCGATGCGGGATGGCAGAAGAGGAAATGATAAACGTCCTGAAAATAATGAGATTATCTATAAGATTTTGCGTTGATTAGGACTGGAATTGTGCAATTACCAAAATGGAATCTGTTTGCTGGAAGCGTCGTTCCAGACGCGTTCCGCTGGGCAGCTTAAATACAACGGCGATGGCATCGATTGCATCGGCTGGTGGCTCGGGGGGCACCAGATTGGCCAGCTCTATCTTTTGCCTGGCAATCTCTTCTTTGCGCAGCTCAACATCGCGACGAGCACGTTCCTCGGCCTCCAGCACTTGGCGAGCGGCGTCCCGTTCCCGTTGACGCTGGCGCTCCTTCTCCTCGTCAGCCAGCAGACTCTGCTCATAGGCTTCATCCTGCTGGCGGCGCAGCGTCTGTGTGAAATTGCGCTCCAAGCGATCGGCACGCGCCTGACTGAGCCACACTTCGTTGACAGCTATCACCGCCTGCAGACGACGCTGCAGCTCTTCGGGCGTACAATCACCCTCGAACCGGCCCACAACCATCATACGATTGGCTCGCAGGCTAATCATCACCATCAGCGGATAGGTGCGCACCGTAATGCTTTGCATGACACGATAGCCCTCCGGCGTGGACACGTCACATCCCCAAAGCAGCGTATGGGTGTTAATATAGTCGATGATTGAGCGTGAGGATAACGTGTCGCGGCAAAACGACTCCACATCCGGATTTTGGGTTGGATCCTTATGCAGATAGACAAGCAAAAAGCGTAGCTCCTGCTTGGCATCGTTCAGAGCTTGGGCATATGTGCCCTGATAGAATACCGGATGCTCCGGATAACGTTCATAATACTCGCGTATGAACTTCATCACATCGGCCAGCGGATCCGTAATGATGCGCGGCTCGTTGCCGCCGCCAATGTTAATAAATGCACGGACAATGCCCGACAGAGTCGAGTAAAAGTATTGGAACACAAAATTGATCACGTAGCCGAGCATGCCCGTAAAGGTGCGCGGCATTGGCCCAATGCTGGGCACCCGGCTCACCGTTCGGCCGCCGGGCATATTCGCTGAGAAGACCTGTTGCAGGAAACGATCATTGATAACAGCCGGAGCGCGCACATCTGTCGAGGCTGTTAGCATGGTGGGCCGACCCTCGCGTATGTTCATCTGCTCCTGAAAAGCCACCTGCAGCAACAAAGTTCACCAATAGTGTTAATTAATTGCATTCACAGCGAATCGATGCACATCTACCTCGAGATCCCATTGATGACGTATGAGCACATCACGACAGACGTTCATGTCCTCGATGCCAGTCAAGTCCTGAAATTGCAGCACTTTGTCCGTTTGTTCATTTGTCAGACCCTCCGCCTCCATTTTGCAGCAGGTGTTGTTGTCGTCGTTTTAGTTGTGTTGTAGTTGTTGTTGTTGCTGTTGTTGCTGTTGTTGTAGTTGTTGGTTTATTAGTGTATGCGTCTTTTCTGCGTGTCTATTGCTGCTTTGTGGCGCGATTGTGCCTTTGGTTTTGGCCTTTGTCCGCTGCTGTTGGCAAAACGGATGCGCAATTTCTATAATTTATAGTGGCAAATTTATTATTTGCACGGCCAAGACTCACTAAATAAACTGAACGAACGGAACCCCTAATTGTCGTTCATCTAACATATGTTTTTTGGCATCCAAAAACTTAGCATTTTGCTCGCTGTTATTAACAGCGAGCCATTATTTGTGCTCCCCTAAAAACACGATCGTAACTCGAATTTTCAATAAAATATAAAAATAATTACTTGAAGTTCAATTTTCAACGAAGATGCAATTAAACGTTTTAAAGTAATATATTTATTATGTTGTCTGAGTGAAAATTCGGCAGATAAGTCACCAATTTGAAATAAGCAGCTGCTAACTGGCTGTTATAATTGCAGCTAACAACAACTGTTATTTAACATAATCGATTCATTAATGTAGCCAGAATTCGCAATTGGTGACAACAACATTTTCTATTAACCTGCTTTGCATCCGTTATAATGTTCTAGGCGACATTGTTTTTATATAATCATATTGAATTTGCATAATTTTTACAACATAATGTCATTCCGATAAGCCGATAATAGCCACATGTATTTACAGCGTATCATCTCTACGTTTTGTTCTCTTTACATAATTGTTGACATGACAGTAAATGTTAAAGTTTTGCAGCACTCTCAGCTGTCGCTGTTAATGTTGGGTTATTTTGTTTACTTTGATTTTGTTTACCTAGTTTTCTGCGTACAATGAATGCACGCGCTCACAAAGCATTTATGCTAAACTTTTTTCTGGACGAGGGTCTGGGCCCTCAGTTGGCCGAAGCAGTGCGGTTAGTTACAGCTGAGAGTACATTAAATGTACTGAGTACAAGGACTGAGGAGGGGGAAGATAACACTATACGCTCCATGCCACGATATCAGGATGATCAGTTCAAGGAACAATTTCGCATGCAGCGCAGCAGCTTTGAGGTGAATAAAAGTGAACATAATAAGCACTTATTGTTACCCTTAACATTTCCTCACACAGAAGCTGCTCCAGGCCGTTGGCAAAGCTATAGCCGGTGCGGAACATCATCAGCCAATTGGGCGCGTCTCACTCCCTGAGAAACTATTGTACACATTAACACTTCTAAGTGGCAAGTATGCTTGGCCGTTGCATTGAAAAGAAAATGAGCCTATATATTTATTTTGCTTGCACACGCAGAAAATCATTCCGCGAGGTGGGCGACAGTTTTGCCATATCCAAGAGTTCCGGCCACGAGATTTTCAAATGGGTCACCGCCGCTTTTGCTGCCCTAATGCCGCGCTACGTGAAGTGGCCGGCGGACAACGCGTGCGGTGGCAGTGCCATTAGCCAACTGCCTGGAGTTGTGGGCGTTATCGACGAGTGTCGCATTCCACTGAAGCTGCCTGTACGCGAGGAGGTTGGCCATCTGCAGTACGCGTCGCTGGCCCTGCAAGCTGTGTGCGACGAACGCAGTCGCTTTCTGGATGTGCACATCGATGTGTCCGACAATCAGTGTGTGCTGCTGAAGAGTGAGCTCTTCGAGCGACTTATTGACATGGAGGAGCCGCTGATGCCGCCCCACAAGCATCTGGTGGGCGAAATGATGTATCCACTGTTGCTCAATCTGATGACGCCCTATGCGGACAACAATGGGGAGTTGACACCATGTCACATACGCTACAATCGGGCTGTGCATTTGTGGAATGCGCCCGCGGAGCGCGCCTTTGCGGCGTTGATGTCGCGCTTTGGACGCCTCAAATCGCTAGATGTGGGCACAATGGAAGTGGGCAGCATTGTTGTCTCCGCCACCTGCATGCTGCACAATTTTATATTGGATTGTGGTGAACCCATTGAAGATGCTACCTTGGACTTTGAGATGCTGCCAGATAATCAGAACAGCATCGTGTTCGAGGAGCACGGACTGGTTAATTGGGATCACACATCAGCGGCGGAGAAGAAACGCGATGGCCTTGTGGCTGGCTTTATAAATACTACGTAGCACATTAGCATGTATTAATTTATGATTAATATTTAAGCAAAGTAGCTTGGGTTTTTTTTTTTGAAAAATTTAAAATCTGGCAACTATTAAATTTAGCTTATAAATTAAACTGAAATCTGGCAACTATTAAATTTAGCTTATAATTTCAAAGCCGCCAATTTCTTACACGCAGTTGTAAATGAATTTAATTTGTTTTTGACACTTATTAATTGAAATAAATATGTATTTAACATCAATCTCCAAACAGCAGGTATGTTCCGATTTTGCGGATTTCAAAACGAGGAGGACGAAAAATCGGATACAAACAGTGAAGGCATTTAGCTCGATCTGGCAACTCTAAAGTTGCCAGTCTAATTACAAAGCCGCCAATTTTCATTACGCCGTCGCAAAAGCATTTGAATTGAACAATTGGAATTTAAAGCAAATATGTATTTAATATCAACCTCTAAAAAGACAATATTATCCGATTTTGCGGATTTGGAAACGAAGTCAACATTTGTTCACGCCAATGGCGAATCAACAGATTTTCAGTTCAACGCCCAGCGACGCGTCTTTGTGGAGGTGGACAAAAAGGCGGGCTTGGCGGTGATGCGCATAAAGGAGAAGCAACAAAACGGTAAATCAAACTGCACAATAAATACTATATATTTGTAATAATATTAATTTTGTTGCAGCACCCGAAATCCAGCGCCTACGCAAATTAACAATAGAAAATGCCTATTCGGTGTGCTGCGCCAAAACGGCATCCAATCAAATTGCCATTGGCCAATCGAGTGGATTTGTTAAGTTGTTCGACTTTCGCACCACCGAGATGATACACCGCTATCCGGCAGACCAGTCACGGAGCACTGTGCTCTATGTGGACTACAATTGCACGGATGATTACATAGCGGCTGTGCTGGAGGGCGGCAAGATTAACATCTATGGCACCAAGACCAAACAGAAGATTGAGACTCTCACAATTGATGATCAGTAAGTAAAACTTTGCAATTTGTTGTCCCCGAGCAATTGAGTTGGCCAGACAAATACAATATCTCTCCTTCCAGACACGGTAAGCTGTCAGGCTAGCTATTGCTAGCTGTCCACTTCAAGATTGAAATGAGTACTAAAATTCTGCATCATACTGTTTTCTAGAATCAGACTTTTACGCTGATCTTTCAGAAAGACTTTTGTGTCAGGTTTCATTCATGCCTCAGATCGTTATACTCTTGCAAAGGGTATTTTATTTATAATCCATTTGATAGATACCTATCCGAAGCCATAAAATGTATATACTCTTGACTTTGTATTAAGAACCGGTTCTGACCAAAATGAGCTGAGAAGGATTGATATGTAGTTGCCCGCATTTATGGAACATACTCTAACATGGTGCCTTTTTTTTCAATACAGCTCGACTCTGGCTCGTTTTCATCCCAGCAAGCGTTTCCATTTGGCAGTCGCCTCCTACAAGGGCACCGTCAGTGTCTACGATGTGCAATCCAAGCGGACCATCTTCAACATAGACGATGCGCACGATGCGCCTTGCCGGGACGTGAGCATGTGCAGCTCACAACCCTCGCTGCTGGTTAGCGTTGGTTACGATTGCGTCATCAATATATTTGATATACGGCGCAACAAGGCGCAGTCGTCTTCCGGCCGTTTAGCCTACTCGCATCCCATGTCCACGGTGGCGTTAAGTGAATGCGGCACCTACTTTTGTGCGGGAAATCTCAAGGGTGAGCTGATTGCCTATGATATGCGTAGCACCAAGGCACCGCTGGCCGTGCGTTCCGTGCACGAGGGTTGGTAAGCACGACTAAATGTTGATCTCTTCAAGATTCAGTTTACCATCCAGATATACTTGCAGTGCCGTCACGCGTGTTGCCTTTGTGCCCATGCCCACGGAGGAGCAGCAGAGCAGCAGCTTCACCAGCTCAAATAATGTGACTATGGATGCCGGCAAGGCCGCTCAAGTTGAGCAAATGCCGAGCGATGAGCTACGCAAATCGATTGCCGCCAATTTGCTGATTACGCAGCAGCAGCTGGCCACAATGAGCAGCTTGGGCTATGGCAGCGCCACTGTTGGAAGCAGCTTTGCAACGCCGGCAACAGCTCGTGGACAGCGAGATTCCTTTTGTGATTTTCTAGATGCGCATAGGCCGCGTGTTGTGGATCGCATGTCCACGCGCCTGACCACAACAGCACGACGTGATAGCTTCGACTGGGATGCGCTGCACTCGAAGCCCAGCAATGAGGAACAGCGACAGAGCATTTGTCCGACCGGCTCGGGTCTCAGCTCCATAGATAGTGCTAATAGCTCTACGGTGGAATCGCTGCAACGTGAGTATCGCTAGCTGAAGTTTAAACGAAACAACTAGATCCATTTAATTTCCCACAGAAACACCTAGCGGTCCATTGCGAGATCGCAGCAACATATCGGTGGATGCAAAGTTGAAGAAAATCTCGGAAACAGACGAGCACAGTGCTCTGCACGAGCAGTCCGTCAATTGTTCGGCGGTCAGCAGCTGCGCGGGCAGCGACAAGGAGAATCCATCTACAGCGGACGTAGAACGCAAGCAACGCCTGCGTCTGCTGCCAGCCAGTCGCAATAGCACGCCACATCATGTCGCTGCAACGGCAACGCAATCGGCAGCTTTGCAGCCGCAGCAATTGTTGCCGAAGACGTCCAGCGGACTTTCCACGGAGGCCTCACTACGAGATGCTGTTGCGGTGGAGCGTGATGAGCTGGACGAGCTGCATAAGGAGCGCGCTGCGTTGCAACAGGAGCGAGCCGAGCTGCGCAAGGAGCAGGCCGAGCTGCGCAACCTGATAGATGAGCGTTTCGTTAAGCTGGAACGCGAACTGAAATGGTCAGATGAGAAAACCCGCTTTCTGCTATTCAGCGAGGTGGCCGATTACTGGAATCAGCAACTGAGCAGCACCCAGGAGATACGCGATGCTCTGGACTTGCTGCTGAAAAACGATCGCTTTGTGCACGATTACTCGTGTCTGCAGCAGGAGAACGAGATGCTCCGAGCGCAGGTGCAGCAATTGCTTAGCGAGCGCGAGAGCTCAGAAGCTGGTGATGCTTAAAGCAATATTTTGGTTTTTAAAATTGTTCGTAAATTTGTAAATTACTGCTGCATTATTTATCGTGTATATTATATAGATACATAGTAATTGTTTAAGGCTCACTTTCTGTATGCCAATTGTAGCTGGTGCTGCTGCTCCTGCTGCAGTTGCTCCGCCGCGCTTAGTCTGACGGGCATGTCCACCTGCAGTGTGATCTTGGAAGTGATTTAAAGCAATATGAATAACTAGAGTATTGCACTCACCGAGATGGTCGTATTGAAGTTCTCGTAGTCCACAATATAACGCTCGTGGCTGGCATCGTAGTGGATGATGTTGACAAAGCGCTGACCCCAGTAAATCTCGCGCGGCACATACGATGTCTTCGCCTCGGTCATTTGTGCCGTTGCCGGCGATGTGCCCACAATCGTAACATACAGCTCAAATTGTCCGGCATTAAACTGTTTGGCATTGCCAAAGTGAAACAACGGGCTGCTCTCATCGATCACATGGCAGACAATGTCGGGCCAGACAATTAGCTGCTCCCCGTTGCCCTCCAGCTTCAGCTCCGTGTGCGTCTTAATGAGCTCGCCCTCGCGCGTGCTGCAAGGCCACATTTTTGGTGTTATCAATTGTGGAGACAATAATTAGGCTGACTCACAGTTTGTCCACAATCATGTAGACGCGTATCTTGGACTCAATGGACTGTTGTTCGCGCGGATCGCAGACACGGAAGAGCAGGCACAGCTTGCCATCGCGATAACAAATCTGCAAGAATATTTGTGTATGTGTATGTATAAGCGTGGCATATTGTGGGCAGCTGGGCTTACCACAGCCTTGTCGCTGAACTTGAGCTTGGTCAATTGCTTGGCGGGACGAGCCGTTTTTGCATAGATAATGCTGACCATGGTGCCCTCAATGGCCGCCGCGCACATCATTTGCATGACGAACAGAAATATGGTCTCCGGGCATTCCTCGCTGGCGTATTTCTCGCCAAATCCGAGCGTTGTTTGCGTCTCAACCGAATATATCAGCATGGCCACAAGATTGGGTGTACCATAAATGCATGGATCCGTGCCCTCGCCCAAACGTTGGCCCGTGACAGCATCGAACAGGAAGTCGCCATGGGAATAGGCCACCATATAGCATAGTACACCAAAGAAGATCCAGCTAAGAAAGTAGCTGCCTAGGAAAAGTGTCAGCATATATTTCCATTCCAATTCGATCTGTGTGGGCGACAGTTGCATTTGAATATTACTATCGAACTATCGACTCTATCGATAGCGCCAGACAGTTAATTGTTATCGTTTTCGATTATGTATGAGAATTAGTTTGGCGCCCAAGTAAAATGTTTGTTACATGTTTTCGTTTCGATTTGTTTTTTTTTTTTTTTTGGTTAATTTTCATATTGTGTGAGTTTATTTGTTTAGTATATGCTAAATGCTAAATGTTACTTTTTCGCCTTCGCTAGTATTTGGCTTGGGCTTAATTTTCAGCTTTGTTGTCGGCGATTCGTTGGCCAATTCGTCCAACTTGCGCTGTATACTGGGCGTTATGCTATAGATATTCGATCGTTCAGCTGTTGGCTGTGTCTTGGCTGCTCTCTGGCCGAACATGGACCTTACCAGCGTAGTGACAGCATCGCGCATATAGCGCCAGGACTTCTCTGGTATGCGCCTAAAGACCACATTCTCATGTCCATTCTTCTCCATCACGCGATGCATGCTGCGCCGCAGCCCATCCGCATCGGTATCGGGGCTCAGCTCAATGGTGCTGCCCGACCAGTCGAGGGTATAGGGAAAGCTACGGCATTGGAATAAATTGGTATAAGTTGCGTTAATTCAGTGCACGATGCTGCTGAGATTTGACCCACTTTTGTTCGCTGCGCGTCTCCAATTGATCGGCGGCCTGCTTGGACTTGCGTCGCCGCACACAGCTGGGACTCTCCGGATAGTAGTCGGCTTCGGTATCATTGACGGTCTCCTTTTCGGGCGATCGCGCCAACGGCTTGGGATTCAACGGCCTTGGCTTCACAGGCATCGATGTGGAGCGAATCATTTCAAGATTTTCGCTGGCGTCCACTGAGCTCATTGTTGTGTGGCTGCCCACGCATGGACAGAAACTGAGATTTTTTCTTGTCTAATTGCCGTTGCTCGTGTTCTCGTCGTCAGATGCTCGACGGAACAATTTCACTTGTCGCGTAGATTTGCGTTTTAATTTTTAATTGAATTAGATTGCAGTCCACGTAGCCGAAGCGCGCTCAAGTTGTTTGACTGACTGACCGAATGACACTGACTCGAGTCTGGGCAGGGAATTAAAATAGTGAAAAAGTATACCTAATTTGTGGTACATAACGGAAGATGTGTATTTGAATATATTTATTATCTTCATGTAGCGCCTGACTGTGTTTGTGCGCATCCATACCATGAGGAGATTAAAACGTCAAAAGTTACCTCCTTAGTAAGTTTTTACTGATTATAATGCACATATTTATACTTTCAGCAAATATTGTTATAGCTACGCCACAAACAGCGAATGTCAGCTAACAAGTTAATCTAGTAAGATTTGTTTACACAATGTTGCTGATTTCTGCTATCAGCTAGGAGAACTTTGAATATACGCGCTATCAAAAGAGCTGCCAATGAATGCAATCGAAATGCTATCGATAAATATACTTCGACCAGTGCTTAAAAATGTCATTTTAGTATACGATATTTTTGTGCTGTGTTTTATTTTTATTAAAATTGCAAGTTTGCAAAATATAGCACTTCATTACACAATAACTATTTATAATCACAATTAATTGCTTATATTCATTAAAATACTTTTTTTTTAAACCATTTCTCTTATCAATAATGTAGAGGTATTGCCTTAAAATTTTACGAACACTTGCGGAAGGCCCGTAATGAAAGACTCGATTATATTAAATAGATATATATCGCACTTATCGATATGTCTGCTGCCGCAGCTAACTTTAAGTTGTGGCAGTGTGTGTCAGTGACACAAACGAGGAGTATTTGGAACTCGTAGCACGCGAATGTCTCGTTGTTGTCACTCGGCAAGTTTAAGTGTCTTTAAGGTTGAGATACGTCGTCGTTACGTTAGTGAAATTGCTTAAATTGATGAAATCAACGCAGACCAATTGATGTGCACAATAATTTAATTGTGTTTTCAGTGCAATCTATGAGAAAAATGTCGTGCGCGTTGCGTTAACAATATGAAAATAAATCGGAAAGTGTGAGAGAGAGATAAAGATAACTAAGTGCAAATGTTTGTGTGGCGAGCTAAACTGAATTATGCTTAAAATACAATTTATATAAATTGCCAACAAGCCAAAAATTAATAAGTGCAACAATCACAATACAGAAAAATAGCAAGAGCAGCGTTTAAACAGGTAAATAATTGGCTGCGACGACAAAAAATTTACACACACTGCACGCAGTTTATGTGGCAGAAATTCAACAAAATGCCATTGATAAATTCAATTTGTGCACATACACACGTACAAATTTACACATGCATATATTTATAAATATGCTTTGATATAAGCAAGGGCATTGTCGGTAATATAAGTATCTATAATTTATGTATGTATTTAATAGTATAGTATATACATATGTATATTGGTGTCGCCGTTGCGTTATTTCGTTGTGCCCAAAAGAGATACGAAATTCCCAGAAACGCATTTTCTAATTTAGACCGATTTCTGAGAAGTGACAGACAGCCAAGCGAGCCGCCAACAACAGCAGCAGCAGCTCAACGAGACCAACAACAATGCGCATACATACACATATACACACATACACATACTTGTATATGCTTGCTCTCGCGCTCACACAGAGCGACTTAGCAACAACAACAACACAATGGCAAAGGCAGTATTTTGTGGGCAAAGGGAGAGCGGCAAGTTGGCGGCTGCTGATGTTGGCAGCTGCTGTTGCTGTGGCGGCTATTGAATGAAATGCTGTTGCTGTTGCGGCTGCAAACATTTAACACCACAAGCCGAGCTGAAGCTGGCCTCACACACACACATGCACGGACGCTCAAGTAAAGAGAGAGCGAGTCTTGACTCAATTCGCCTGAAGCCATACTTCATACACACTCGACGTCTGCAGCGGCAATATTTTTTTTCGACGTACCCTTCACAAGAAAAGGTGTTATTAACTTTGTTGTTGTCTGTAATGCACACACACACACATTTTGGTTAATTCTTGTTAAAAGCGGGTTTTTGACCAGCTTCTTCCGCTCATTTCCTTGAAATTGTATTAAAACTTTTGAGTGCATTTCTGTGGGCTCTCTGGGGTTTTTAATAGCTTTTCATGTGAAATTGAAATTGTTTCCAACACAGCCAAAAAAAAAAAAAAGAAAGAAAAAGGATAAGTGTAATTGGGGCGTTGTTTAATTGGCATGTCTAGAGATGTGCCCGTGGGCCCAACAAGATCTTTACGGCCATGTTGCCATGGTGTCTGAACTTCGGAGCAAACAAAAAATGTTGAGCACTTTTTCAATATATCAATATAACATTTATCGCGTTTGTTCATGCGCAGCTGCTTTTTGCGATTTTCAAGATAATTAAATTATTTTCAAAAATGCGGACTGCTTGAAAACAAACTGTTTTTTCGGGAACAGGTACGAATATTAATATTTTTTGTAGATATCTCACTTAAATTAAAAAAAAAAAAAATATATATATATATATATACTCTATTTTAAGAACGTAGCGCGAATTATATTTTATGTGTGTCATTTTTTTTAAAGGGCCTTTATTGCGAATATATGTAGCTGCTGGTCACACTGTCTTGTGATATCATAATAGAGCTACGCATAAACACACAAAGATTGCTATTTCTCATTTTCCCCCCACCCCGCTGGCACGCTGCACCTATTGGCTTACGCTCAGCTGCTGCTGCTGCTGCCGTCGTAGTGGCTATTTTTTTTTCTGCTTCTTCTCCCCTCTTCCGTATTTCTATTGTATTAGTATTTGTTATACGATTTACGTGCAGATTTCGTGGAAATCTAAAGTGATGTTTGTGTGTGTGTGTGTGTGTGTGTGTTGTTGTTTTTTCTTTCTTTCATTTTGCGCTCATTGTTAATTGTTCGCGTGAATTTTGTTCAATTGAAACGCAATGCCAAAAGTGAAATGTGGGCAAAACACTCAATTTTTGTTAGAGTGGAATTCATTATTGTTGTTTGTTTGCTTTTATGTTTTGTTGCTCCTAATTGTATTTCATAGTAAATCATCAAGCTATATATTTATGCATATAGCTCTGGTCTGTTTGTATTGTTATTGTTAGACTTTTGAGTAACCGGTTCAAGTTTTTTTTTTTTTTTATTATTTTCAAACATGTTTTTGTTTTTATTTATTTATTTGTTTATTTGTTTGTTTTCAATCTCATCTGCCCGACTTTCAAAAGCAGCTGACGACCTAATCTATATTTGTCCGAGCCGTCGCCTAGTTACCAATTACCTGTTACACCTGCTGCCCACCCCCATTGACCCCCCCAACCAGTTGTTGTTGTTGTTGTCTCTTACCCGTTTCAGTTCCAGTTCCACTATCTTAGCCACATGCTCATGCCCGTCTTCTTCTTCTTGTCTCTTGTCTCTGCCGTGTGCACATATTTGCCTTCAATTTCCATGGAAAACGAAGCGCTTTTGATTGTTCTTGGAACTGCCGTTTCCCAACTTTGCAAACGCTCTCCTGATAAGCGCACCGTTGGCCTGCCATATTCACCTGAATACTATCAGACCTGACCGTTAAACACTGTAATTTTCGTGTGAATTGTGATAAGTAACATTAATTGCAATAGTAAATACCGCGAAAAGTCCCAAAGTCAAAAGGTTGAGTGTACACAACGTTACGTTAAATGCTTCAACAAGTAAATATTTTAATATCTTTTAGCTTTTAACAGTTTTGCAAGCTCCGATTTGTTTAAGTACAAAGAATCATATGCGCATAACTTTTGAAAAATTAACTCTTAAACACTGATTATTGCTTACAATTAATTAATTTATGCCTCTTCACTTTATCAATATCTGTTTCATAGTCCTCTGTTGGTTATTCAAAAGTTCCCCAAGTCTATTCCGATACCTAATTTAGTGACTACATTTAGTAACTGTTACTCGTTACAGTTGTGATTAAGTCACGATTCGACTCGATTCTTGTTTTGAATTTCTCATATTGTATGCCTGACCACTTTATCAATATCTGTGTCAAAGTCCTCTCCTCCATGGTTCAATAGTTGCCCTAGTCTATTCTGGTAACTGTTAAGGTAACTGTTACTCGTTACAGTTGTGATTAAGTCACGATTCGATATACATATGTATCTTTAAGCAAGTATTATTGTTTTGAATTTCTCATATATGCCTGACCACTCCATCAATATCTGTTTCCTCTCCTCCATGGGCTTGCCCAAGCCCATTAATTATTCCCATTCGTAACTATGTGCCTATATTTAGTAACAGTTACTCGTTAGAGCTGTCACGATTGTTTGTATGTGCATTGCACATCTCTAGTTGACACTTTATTTACTCTGGTGGGCGGCAACACTCACAGACTTTACAATTTCGTAGTAATTTATCAATGAAATATTGTGGAATACTTGGAGTATCTTTACAGTTGCCTGGAATTGTTGCATGTGTGGGTAAAGCACACACATGCAACGAATACATTAAGTACTATAATTTACGGTCTCTGTTGATTTTTTTATTTTTTGCCTATCGGCTTCCGGTTGAAGGCAATCGTAATCGCTAAATTTATAAATTTAATCGGTGCTATTATATACGTATGTATATAATATATATTTGTTGAACAAATAAAGAGCGCTGATTGTCGCTTCGTATTGTTCAGTTGACGTTTCTGGGCTGCACAAGAAGGTAACTATACGAAATGTATTGCCTTATTTGGCAATGTCGAAGTGTTTGCTTGTGGGGCTCGATAATAGTTAAACCTACCTCAATAGGGGGCACAGGTATGTACCTATGAATCGTAATACATTATGATAAAAGCGCCTGTCATATGAAAGGTGCCAATGGGTCTCGTAAAAAATTGAAACTTTTTGTAGAGCTCGAGGGGAGTTACTAGGGATTATATCGGACTGCAACTGTGTTCAGCTATGTCCTTAAAGGAGGGGCGAAGGGAATAAATGTATTTATATAAATAGTCTTATACGACTCTTATACAGCTTAGATCATATTTAGATTGATGCCTTTTTCTACTTGTTTAAGCTGCGCTTAAAACGCTTCTGTCGTATCTCCGAGGCTTTGCAAGGCATCTTTACAATTCAAGCCCATTCACCGTTAGACGCTTATGCTCATGAGTTGTATCTAAAAGTTGCAAAACTTTCAGGGTGTGTGTCTGCATATGTAGTTATATCTGTATCTAAACATGCCTAGGCCGAACCCATCTTTTGGGCAACCTTGACAAATGTCCGACGCACAGCCCGCAGCTGGACTAAAGTGTGGCAAATTAAGTTGAAATTTTGTTAGTGCTTTCGTTTAATCAGAAACCAGCAACAACGCACACACACACACGCTACAGGGATTGTATATGTGTGTGTGTGTGTGTGTGTGCTGCGTACCTTTAAACAACTTCATGACTTCACCAGCATGTGAGTACCGTGTGCATACATATTTTCCAAGAATCGCTCATGTGCTGTGTGTTGTGTTGTGTTTTGTATTGTGGATTTATCATGAGAGCCTTTCAGCGGGGCAGCGTTTCTACGAATTTTGCCACTTTTCACATTCATGTTAATATTATTATTGTGCGTCTTCTTCGTCTTCTTCTACTGCTTACTTTATACTATTATGATTACTATTTTGCTCGTACATTTGTATTGCCGTGCTTACTTTAGTACCTAAAGGCCATTGTATTAGCCCCACATACGCACACATATGCATATATTATTTAGATAATGCCCAAAAATTCGCGATAAGAAATTAAAAAAAAAAAAACAAAATATTTTTATCTGAGAATTGGTTTAAAATGTAAGCCGTTATTTTTGCAAATTTTTTATTTTAAGCCAAATAGTGAGCCACCCTAATGTCAATAAATTGCCACATTACACTGAACACCCCTAGTGCAGCTATCGAGTTGTAAAGACGCTTGTTCAGCGCTAAAAAAAAAAAAAAACCAGAGTTACCAAGTGTTCAGACACTTTTAAATACTGTTATGTAGAAGCTATAAACAATATGTAGATATGTATATTCATATCTATAGTACATACGTGCACAAATGTACTTATAAACAATGGCATCTTATGAGAATTTGATTTGATTATTTTTGCTATTTGTGTTGTTTACCTACGTCAATGAGATTCCTCTAGGTATTCCAATGGCAATGGCCATATCTCAGGCATATCAGTCACGAACCGCATGATAAGCATACGAAGCGATAGAAGGAGACAAAGAGTACTAAGCACGTGAGTAACAGAGAGAGGGAGAGCGAGAGCGAGCAAGTCATAGATAAAAGTAATAAAATCAAGCTCGAGCCTCATGCCGTGGGTGAGAGCAGTTGAATTCGGTGGAATTGCTAATTAAATTGGCATATGAAAGCCGAATTGCCATGAGAATTGTTCATGTTCATACTACAATTTCGAGCGAAGCGTAATGAATGGAGAGGAGCAAATACGTATTATATATATTTTCGGCATGAGTGTGGGGGCGGGTGAGTGGGCAAAATGAAAACGTAATAAATAAATCTCATTTCAATTTTCTTGCGAAAAATATCAAAATGAAATACACTTTCTCAGGCCGCATTGTACACCGCCAGCTACCGCTCTGCCCCGACCGCGCTGCCCAAGAATGCCTCGTTCGTTGCGCTCCTTTGGCACTTAGCGCTTTGTTGCCGCGCTCGCTCTGCTTTGCATGTGATTTTGTTTTCAAGCGAAGTTCATTTACGAATTCCAAGTAACTGCAAAAGCGAAAAGCGAAAAAATGAAATAAACAGCAAGAAGAAGCAACAGCAGCCAGCAACGGCAACGGCAACAAAAGTAATTGAATTCGCTTTAAAATCCTACGCCCGTCTGCCTTGCCTGCCTGCCTTCCTGCCAGTCTGTCTGTTTGTCTCTCTGTCTCTCTCATTCGTTTTTGTTGCCTACCCATAACGCTCTGTCCTGGTTGCTCATTTCACCTCCCTGCCCGTTGTTGTTGGTGATGTTGACTTTTTGCTCGCGCTTTAGTTTTGCACTTGCCGCCTGCTACTCAACAACTGCTATTGCAGCCGCTTACCGAGCAATGTGCCTCCCCCGTCATTCGGCTCATCCACCTGCCTCTCCTGTTCACACTGACCGCAATTCATTTTGTGTTTTGTTGTGACAATTTCAGCGTAAAAACATGACAATAGGCAGCAGCCAAGCTTGAGCTTGGGAGCAGTTTTCGCAGTTTTGCCTTTTCCCTTTTCCCTAACCATTCAAATGGGCTTTTAATGCGCAGTTGATGGTGGCAGCGGGCGAGGGAAGGAGTTATGTAAAAATCGAGCGGGTGGCGAATTGCTGGGAATTCGCATTCATAAGATACACGAGTACACAGCTTCATGCTGGCGAAATTGCGACTTAACTTTGGCTACGTTTTTGTTTCGCAATACTCAATTGGAAAAGTTTCGCGAACTCCTTATTCCCAAGAACTTCCGCTCTGATATAACTTTTTAACTGTGGCAACTGTGCAGTGCTCAACAAAGTTTGAAAATGCTGTGCATGCTTTTGTGTGTCTTATACAACACTACCTTAGGTTCTCTAATAATCGGTTATCGATTAAACCATTTTACTTACACTAAAATCGCTTATAAACCGTTTCTTCTGAATAACTGTCATTTGTATAGTTTATTATTTTTCTCAACTATTTTTGAGCTACTCACAAACCTTTTGATACCAGCGCTGGGGAAATATGCACAGGTGCTTATTAGAAATATGTCCAGCTTTTCTGCTTACACATTCATATTCTGTATATATATATATACATGTGTATATATGTCGCGCTCCCCTTTTCAATAGAGTTTACGGTGAAACGTTTATCAACGTTTTTACCACGAACAAGTTATGTATTAGATCATTATCTGTATTTGGATTTCTGATGAAATTTCGCATTGTCTGCAGCACTTCCAGCTCAGGGCAACGAGGCAAAAAATATTATAAAACAAAATGTAGAAAAAAAAAAAAAAAATATGAAAGAAACTGAAGAAAGAAAAAGGTTCGAAACGCGGACCCTCTCGAAACGCCAGGCGGGCTGCCAAATGCACGCAGCAGTCGCAGTAGCTCGTGCCCCGCATCTCACACCTCCTGGAGCGCAACCCCAATGCGCTCCAGTGACTCATACCCTGCCTCCTACCTGCCTACTTAGCCTCATACTACTATATATACATATATATATATATACACATCTATGTATACGTTTGTGTGGTAGCCCAAAGAGTGTTGTTATAAGCGCGCTATGCGGTTTTATCTGGTGTGCTTCAACTTCAGGTTTCCATTGAAAGTTGGGGGCTGACTCGTCGTCGCTCGCCGCCGTCTCATGCGGGTCTTTCTCGCACACATAAACACACACGTACAACTGGATTTCATCATATTCGTAAATATAGTCGGATGTTTTCAGTTGAGAATAATGTGTATAGAATAATCGAAACAAAACGACGAGAATCGTGTCATAATACTACAACCTGATTCATTGCGCCCGCCCCCATTGATCGGGCATTGAGAAAGGTCGCTGCCGATTGAAAGGCAGCACGTGCTGCAGCTTGTTAGCCATAGATGGCGCCACACAGTTTCAATTTGCTAGCGTTATCAATTAGTATTTCCAAATAAAAAAAAAAAAATATACTTAAAATTCATATCGAATTCCGGTTAAAAACGAAGTATTAAGCTTTGTCCAAAAAAGAGAGCTTTTGGACTCTATCGCATTTCCGGGAAGTACATTCAGCTTTTCGAGCAAATGGTTTTTTCCAATTTTAGCTGCAATATTGTTTTTCCCAACCCTCGCGTTCTGCCCCTCTCCCGATGCCAACAAATTGTGTATGCACTGTTAATGATTTAATGGGCCCCTGCGCAAAGTTTGAAAGCGTTTCCACGCCTGCAATGCGGGCGAAATTTCCCAGAAATTTGACGCGAGTGCTCGGATTCGGTATAAGGCTGCAATTATGAATAGCTACAACTACGCGGCAATTGGTTAAATTCAGCTGGCTACTTACTGATTACTGATTACCAATTAGCGATACGAATTGCTGTCGATTTCTGTTGAAAAGCCAATTAAATGATGTCAGACTCAGTTGACTGTGATTTAACAGCATGATTAATTACAAAAGCAAAAAAAAAAAACCTATCATGGCTGCAGAATTTCTGATTGCAATGCCTGATACAGTATTACGCTATTGAAAGAACATTGCAATTAATTTCAACTTTAATTAGCTGTAATTTAAACGAATACAAGTTTTCATTGAATTGTATTTAATTTAAGTATTTTCGAAAGAAACAGCTACAAATTTCAATACAGTTAAGTATTTTTGATATAAATACAAAATATCGATCAAATCAATGTTCGAATTTGCTCAAACTTGGCATAACTCGAAAACTTTAAGAATTAGTTATACCAAAAATTGGAATATACGTTCTGGAGTAGCTAATGCAAATGAAAATTATTAAGATACCGTCTTCTTGAAGGAATATTTATTTAAGCCTAGAAAAATTCCTAAGTTTGCACTATATCCTAATCCTTGTAGCTACTTTCAAAGTATTTACGAGAAAAAAATATTTAAGCATTATATAATATCTGGATAATGTTAATTTTTGTGACAGCCGCAATTAGCGGGCGCTTTAGGTCGTTGGCATTTCGTATCGCCTGATCGGTGATCTAATGGTTCAATGAAATATCCCATATGACAGCTTTTGGTATTTTTTTTATTTTTGGCTTGGCAACATTTTCAGAAGTTTGATTTTTTGTTTTGGGGAAACTTGGACTAGCAGAAGTGACTCATTAGAGACGTCTGTCATGGTTGCCCTTGGCGCATGACGCATATTATTACCTAGCTTTTTCTTTTTTGTTGCGGCGATAAGGATTCCGACTCTTGCGCAAAAGCCCCAAAAAACAAGCAACAAGAAAACGCGTCAGACAAACTGGGGACCTAATGTGTGTGTGTGTGTGTGTGGGGGGGTTTATACGAGTCGCGTTATCAATGAATCTTTGCCCGCAATTCTGATGAATGAACGCTTACTGTGTAAACTTGAATGCGACTCTCGGAGCTCAGGGTTCTCGCTGCTGGGTCTCTCATTACGATTTCAATGATTTGTGAAATTGGTGTTGTGTACATGCATATTGTGTGTGTCTATGCATGTATGTGATTGAGGCTAGATTTCACTTACACTCCAGTCGCTGGTCTAAATATAGCCCGGATTAACATACGCAACGATACGTTAGCTAACGATATAAAGATGTGGAACTCTGGGTCTCTTTCTGTGTGCGCCAGCCGATGCGTGGGATTGCTATGTGCGCCATTGTTTTTAATGGGCCATTCCTGGAGCACGGCGCGCTGCATGAGTCAGTCTGGCGGGGGACCTCTTCGTGGGCGCCGCTTGGAGCGAATGCAAAGTGTGTGTGTGTGTGTGTGTGTTTGTGGAGGGGGTGGGGGGGACTCATGTTGTATCTGTAAGTGCATTTAATTGCTTACACCCAACTTCAACTCTACTTAAGTAAGTAATTAAAGCTGAAAACTAGAAACACAGTAGCTACTGCTATGGTTGGGGGGCGCGTTTGTTGCTGTAGGTCAAGACATTTCACACTCGGTTAAATGCGCCTCGAGACATGTGATTGTTGTGAGAGAATTGCGCAAAGCTAACAACAGCAAATAAACTGGAATTTTTATTTTTCATAATTACTCATTTACTGTTTTCTGATAAACCAAGCAACATTTAAGCAGGAAACATGTGTTAACGCTTAAAAAACGCTGCCAGTGGAAACAGTGCAAAAATTCCAATAAAATACTAATTGATTTTAATGCGATCTAACAAATTAACATTGTTGTTCAAAAAGGCACAGATTTTATATAACTAACGTTTTTAATGTGGAAAATTTTGAAGCTCATTGAAATTCCCCTTATTTTGTTTTTCTTTTTACATTTAATTAAATATAATTAGCCAATTTAATGTATTCAAGTTTTCATTTTCTTTGTCTATATTCATGGAAAGTTGAATACTCGTAAGCATAACGGTTTTTTTTTTTTTTAGTATATACCATAAAATATAATCTAAAATATAATAAGCTGGCCACACCGTCAGCCTAGGCAGTTGAAAATGCATTTACAAAAAGTGGCAACGCCGCAACAAGCATTAAATTGCATATAATTTGAATTAAATGTGAATAGCAATTAATTTTACTCGTTTCTTTTTACAGTTGCATGTAGCAGGACCTGTAAAGGAAACAAAGATAGACAGCTTCTCCAATGGGTCATCAATTGAGCAAACGAACAGACCTCATCGTTGCCAGCCAAAGCCAAAGCCAAAGCAGAACCGAGAGAAATTCCAGAAGCAGCAGGCAAACGGATTTGGAGCAGGAGACGCAGCAGCCAGATATTGCTGAAGCTGGCGAAAAGGCAACGCCAATTGCCGAGGAGGCGTTAGCAGAGGTGCGACAAATTATAATTAAAATACAATTGGCCAAAATGGAGGGCGGCAACGACAGTGCGGAGCAGCAGCAGCAGGAGCAGCAACAATTTCCACTGTCCGAGGGCGTCGCGATGTCTGCGGACGCGCTCAATGCAAATGAGCAAATTTTAAGTGTGGCAGTGGGTGCGGCAGCGGGCACAGGTGCGAGTCGAACTGCGGGCAGTTCAACGGAAGCGCCAAAAACAAACGAAAGACAACTCGTGAATAACAACAATTTAGCGGGAAGCGTTGCGTCGGCGTCGGCTGCGGTCAGAATGCTACAATTGCACGACCACGACCATGATGATAATGATGACGACGTCGTCGTCGTTGACGACGCCGAAGATGCCGAATTGGAAATGGCAATATCGTCGTTGCTGCGTCGGCGGCGTCGCAGCAGCAGCGGCGGCGGCGTCGGCGGCGTCGGCGCCGAAGGCGTCGAGTACTGCGAGGTGCTCGAGCCGCAGCCAGTCAGCGATATGTTGTCGAGCGGAGCACAACGCGCGCAAGGTAAATTCAACGGTAGCAAAAACAATTTATAAAACCAATTGTAATTTTATTATCTTCTGCTCTCTCTCTCTCTCTCTCTCTCTCTCTCTCTCTCTCTCTCTCTCTCTCTCTCTCTCTCTTTAGCACCCAGCGGCAGCAATAGCAACAGCGGCAACAGCTGCTGCCGCAGTCGCAGCAGCAAGGCTTTGGCAACTGGCGCCGCAGGAACAGTCACATCCAAGCGTCGTTGCTGCAAATGCAAATGTCGCGATGCATTGCGCGGTCTGCGCGGCATGCTGGAGTCGAGCACGGGCAGTGCCAGTGCCGCCGCCGCCGCCGCCAAGGACAAAAAGGAGCCGGCAGCAGCTGCTGTAGCTGCGCCTCGCAGCAAAACGCGCAGCAGCGCCGACAGACGCTCCACACCGCCTACGCTTAGTGCCAGCAGCGGCGGAGCAGCTGCAGTGAATCGCCTGCAAACGCATCGTCAACGCAATTCTGTGGCCGTCGCTGAGCCCAGCCAGCTGGCGATTTGGGCAGCGCCCGCCATGGGCGATGTCATCATACGCATCAGTTCCCAGCCGCAGCCGCAATTTTTGATGGAATCAGCTGCAGCTACCGCAGCGTGCAACAATTGTAATGCGAACACGCCCGTGGTCACGATGAGCCATCAGGGTCTACGCTTGGTGGCCTCCACACATCCAGATCCTGCTGCTGCGGCGGCGGTGGCAGCCGCGGCGGCAGGAGTCCTGCCCGCTTTGACCATAGAACAGCCACGTGCCGCAGTTCCGCTGAATGCGTACGGTGCCGGGGTGACGGTTCATTCACAAATCGATTTTATGCACTGCCTGGTGCCGGATCTGGAGCGCATCATCAATAGCAGCTTCTATTGGGGCAAAATGGATCGATACGAGGCGGAGCGTCTGCTCGAAGGCAAACCGGAGGGCACATTTCTGTTGCGCGATTCCGCACAGGAGGAATTCCTATTCTCGGTCACATTCCGCAAATACGGACGCTCGCTGCACGCGCGCATCGAGCAAAGCGGCCACAAGTTCAGGTGAGTCAATATAGATAGATAACCAACATTCACATGACACATGCACGAACCAGTCAACTTGTTAAAGTGAGATCTGCAATTGTTGCTGGCTCGGTTAGCAAGTTGCACGTGGTTCTCCACTTCGAGGAATCGATTGCCAACCGACTTTAATCCGTTCCTTTTTAATATTAGCTAACTAACTCCTAAACTTTCTTTACATCCACAGCTTTGATTGTCATGATCCGTGCGTGTTTGCTGCTCTGACGGTTACCGGACTGCTGGAGCATTATAAGGATCCGTCGTGCGTGATGTTCTTTGAGCCGTGCTTGACCATGCCGCTGCATCGCCGACAGACATTCTCGCTGCAGCAGCTGGCGCGCGCAACAATTGTCTCGAATACCACATACGATGGCATCAATCAGCTGGAGCTGCCGGGTCGCCTGAAGAGCTACCTCAAGGAGTACCACTACAAGCAGAAGCTGCGCGTCAAGCCCTGCGATGCACACACACCAGCTCCCTACTATGCTAACATATAGTCCGCGGCCACAACGGCGTTAGTGGCTGCTACGCCGGCGGCGGCGGCGGCTACTCTGCAGTTGGAGCCAATGCCTGCGGCGGGCTTCTACTACGAGGATGTGGACAGTGGCAGCGATTGTGATGCGGACGATGACGATGATGAGGCGGTCAACATACGTGTTTCGTATGTGCAGCATGCTGAGGTTGTGGCACAGCTGCGCGATTGCGCCAACGTCAGCAGCCGGCGGCAGCCACAGCCACAACAAAGGCAACAACAGCTGCAGCAGCAATTGTTGAGGCTGCCCAATCGCCTGGTCGCCGCACTTGGTCGCCTCTCCGCCAATCTCAACTGCTATCAGCCCGTGGCAAGAACGCTGCCAACGCGCAATCAAGTTGCCGGCAAACGTGCCGCCTGATGTGTGCTAGAACCAAAATCAAATACAACTTAGAGACAATCCCAGTGCGTCGTCGTGTGCCGAAGCCAAAACTCCAAAAGCAAAAAAACAAACAAAACTAAAATACATAAAAATCAAAATATTCTATAGTTAATGCAAGTAGCCTTTAAAGCGTAAAGTGTAACCCTAAGTATTACATATTCAAACTGAAAGATCCTCTCCTATATACGATATTTGCTACATATATAGCCTAATATATATATATATATATATGTATAGATTTATTATCCATACCAACTCGCTCCGCATTTGTTTCCCAAAGTATTTAATTTTGCAATTTTCAATTGAATTTGTTAAAGTATTTTACAAATTGTATATTTGCTGGCGTCCTATTTATTCAAACATCTTTTAGAATTTTTGAGAAAATTAAATTATTTGTACATATTCAAACCAACCACACCCCCCCACGCCCCCTTTTCGCCACACACAACTTAGGCGTTAACATACGTAGATATTATATTACAAATTAATAGCGTACAACTCTCATTAGCCAAATTGCAAGTAAACGTGTTTGTTTTTTTGTAAATTTAATTTATATACATATATATATACATATATGTATATGTACAGGAAAATAGTATTTTATTTATTTATTCTAATTGTAATTCGTGGCTGCGCTAAAGAAATATATTTTTAAATTTTCCAGTTGTACATAAATCAATTATAACATACACTTTAGTTTATTATTAAATACTCCTACTAGGTGGTTGCTGTTAATCGTAAATATTACAAATATCAATAACAATATATATATATATAAATACCCTGTAAATTATGCAGTTGTTTCAAAGCTTATACAAACAGTTACATATCGGAATGTTCTACGTGTTGAGTATGAGAAACAAATAAAAACAATAAACAAAACCAAATAAAAAATAAATTTAAATAACTAGAATTTTCGAAGAGCGATCACAGTTATTTGAAAATTATTTTTTCATATAATATATTCATTAATTACAAAAGCTCTTGAAACTCGAAAACTTCTATAACTAAAAATATATGTGTCAGTGGATATTTTTGCTTAAATGTTGAACAACAGAGTACAGTGAATGCTCTTATTAACGGACACTTTTAAATATTAGGGAATATTATAATTTTAAAAAACAAGCATTTTTTGCCTGGCTTTTTAATTCGACATTTGATTTAAGCGGAAATGTGTTTTAGCAAAACCGTGGAAGCAATTAAGTTTTCGTTGCAAATGAAAAACAGATATCCCTTAAATTGCTGCCCGTTTTCAAAATTTCCAATATTAGCTGACATTCCAAAATGTACGTTAAATAAGTTGATAGTTTAATGCGGTGTTTACCAACACTACATATGGTCGATGCGTCAACACTGAGGCCTATCGACCGACCACCACAATTTGTTGCCAGTCACAACGAGTCACAGTGTTTGTTACGGTCACATTTTTAGCGTAGCATCTTGTTTTGGTTTAAACGAATTTTGTTTTAGTTTCTAGCACGCACAAATAACAGAAAAACGATAATATGCTGACGTTAACACGCTGCGCCTTTCTGCTGCTCTCGCTGGCCGTTTGTGGTAAGCTGTTGCCTGCACTGAACATGCTGTTTTTGATCAATTCACATATTGGGTGTGGCTGCCAACTGTTTACTAATTGAAATTGTTTAATTACTCATTTCATCAAATTAGGCAGCTGGGCCATACGCTGCTACCAGTGCTCATCGGACCAAGATCGCAAGGGTCACGACAGCTGCGGCGCCTACAAGCCCTTCAATCGCACCGAACACATTTCTATTGAATGCAACAGCGATGAATCTCACATGCCTGGCTCCTTCTGCATGAAGGTGATACAGCAGGGACCACGCGGCTTCATCTGTGCGTATTCAGTTATAACAGTTGGTTGGAGTTAGTGCTCATGTTTTATATTTTCTGTACACAGGGGATGGCCGCTGGCGTCAGGTGATCCGCCGCTGTGCCTCCGTTTCGGACACGGGCGTCACAGGCGTCTGCAACTGGGGCGTATACGAGAACGGCGTCTACTGGGAGGAGTGCTATTGCTCCAGCGACAGTTGCAATGGCGCCAGTCTATTGACCATGCACAAATCGCTGCAATTGCTGCTTGGCTTTGCACTGATGGCAGGCGCAGCAACGTTTATGCGCAGCTAGAAAACTTGGGGGAATCGCATGCCCAGCAGCATTAAAGAAGTGCCTTTCCAAGTCGGATGTACAGCTCAGAGGAAACACTTAGTTTCTAGTTGAATTTAAAACTGTTGTCCACATTCCGTCCACACTTTGTATTTAATTTTAAGAGCCACAATAGCTGTACACATTCCGTCCACATTTTGTATTTAATTTTAAGAGCGACAAAAGTTGTACACTGAATCTCGCAAAACATATTTTGTGCATTTCACAACTCGAAATATATAATAGTTCATATCGTAGGACAAATTTACACTAATCGACCTCAGCGATGTGCACCTGCTTGGCCAACACCTTAATGCCGCTCTCCATCCAGCCCAGGCTGGTGTCCTTGGCCACCGCCGAGTAGATCATTGTGGAGCCATCATCGAAATGTTTCATCGCCAGATACGACTTCCCGTTCTCCAGCCAAATGTGTTTCTCGTCTGGCGTATCCATGCCTGGCCGTGCGAAAAAGACCGATTGCCCAAAGTGATCCTCATTGTTATACTGTAAAAAGCCAACAGGTGAGTTAGTACAGGAATTTTCTAAATCTCAACTGTCGCCACTTGCCCATTTCTCGTACAGCCTGATCGGCTGATGCGTTTGTGTCCAGCGCAGCACTTGCAGATAGAACCTCATGAATTTGTGCACATTGCGCTTCACCTCGAACGAATCGGATCTACTAAATTTGGCCATCTCGGCCAGCGTGCTGTTGCAAATGATACGATCCTTTGGCCGGGCCAGCGTGCCACTAATCCCGTACGCCACACGGAGCATGCACTCGAAACTCTCGTCCAGCAGTTGATTCAGCGTGGTACTAGCCTTCGGTTGGCCTTTGGTTTGCACCATAATCAGGCAAGGTGGTCAGTTAATTTGGATAATAGTCAAAATTCAAATTCAGAATATAATAACAAAACTATCTGTGTTTTTTGGGAATTTTAGTTTAAAAAAAAATCTCTCGAATGAGATACGAATCATGTCATATGTAGATCTTATAGTTCGTTCGAAGTTCAAGATTCGAGGAGTTTGTTTTTAATTTTTCAACAATTATGCAATAATTTATTCAAATGAGATCAACTAATTATATAAGCTGATCGAATTGGATGCGTTACAGCAAAATTACATTGGATCCAAGACTTCCGCATATATATATGCTGTATGCAATCCATGTACTTAGACATTTTAGTTTTCGTTTGACAAAATTATAAAATATATCTCGTGTATCCAACTTTTAAATCCTGCTTATTAACAATATATATTTAGATTTGCAGACACACATCGGCTATGGAATCCCTCTAAAGGAAAAGTGTTTTAAGATACTCTTAACTCTTCGTAAATATCTAATCATATACAAAAGCAATATTCTGTTTATTTATACATTTTTTTATGCAAAAAATATTACAAAATGTTTGAGAAATGTCGTAATTAGTCCTTGAGTACAACTGGTGCGTACCAGCTGTTCCCCGAAAGGCTGCAGACAATGCAAAAAAGTGCCAGATTAAAATTCATTTTTCTTACGATAGACTCTGATAAATTCCCTCTGTTTATATAGTGTTTAGCCAACGCAAATGTAATTATCGGCGTCTTATCCGATTTGAAATGCTTTTCGGACTATAAGACAAAGAAAACTTATTATATAATAACCGTGCAGGCATATATCTAATTGGCTAAGCCTTTTATAAGACTAAGAGTTATATTTAAACAATATCTTAGTTTTTAATGCGCTGAGCAAACTGAAAAACAGTTTTAATTTCGACGAATATCTGAAGAAGATTACTTTAGAAAAAAACATGTTCTTTCTTTTTATCCGGCCAGAAAATATTTAAATAGGTTTTGAGCGGGATGTGAAATTAAAAACTTATATATAATAAATATATAGCGATAATTTAATAGATAATAAGAATAATGTGATAATAATATATAAATATTTATTACATTTTTAAAATGTTAAAACACACACAATGCACACTACCTAGACTTCCGCAAACGTGCATATAGGTATTTTATGCATTAGATCGAACATATATATTATTTTTATATTGAATATATATTACATATAATATTAAAGCTGGTTTGGCGACTCGAACTTCGAGACAGCTAAGTAAAGAGTTATTATTAATATTAAATATAATATAATGCATATCGTATGAATTTCCATTCCTTAAACATTTTGATTCCTGCTTATCAACTATATATTTAGATATGCTGTCGCACATCGATATTAACTCTTGAGGAAATCTTGTTTAAGATACGCCTCCACTCTTCATAAATAATTAACTATGTACATTGCTTTATCCTGCTTATTTATTAATTTGTCATAACGAAAATTATTTCACAGGGGGACACTTGAAATATGCCGGAATTATTCTTTGAGTAGAGCTGGCGCATTCCAAACCTCTTTCCAGCCGCCCGGCAAGATTTGATTTCGACGAATATCGGGAAAAGGTTTCCTTTAGAAATAATAATTGTTTTTTCTTTTTGTTACGCAAAGTCCAGTCAGAAATTATCTAAATAGTCCACAATCTCAGAAGTCTATATTAAAATAAAATCGATAAGAGGTTAATAAATATTTAAATAATAAATACATTTTAATACCCTTGCTAAGGATAAAACTATTTTGCGTGATATGTGTAACGCATAGAAGTAGATATCTCCGACCCCATAAAGTATATATATTCTTAATCAATATCAACAGTCGAGTCCGTCTGGCTGTCTCCTTCAGTTTTAATGCTATCTTTATGAACATATATCATATGGCATAGGAACGATCGTTCGAAAATGAAGTTGTATGAAAAACTTTTTTGTTAATCAGGACCAAACTCGGCATTTACAGATCTCGCTGTGGTCCCTACCATTAAGCAAAATCTTACTTATATCGGACTACTATATCATAAAGCTGTCATAGGAACGATCGGTCGAAAAGTGTATTAAGTCTTCGGTGTGCCGAAGATAGCCCTGTGGGTTTCTGAGGGTTTATGTATAAAAAACAAAACACCAATTGATATTCTTTATTTTATAACATTTATTTTTGCAATTTTTGATTTTGTGTTCAATATGTATACGTTTAAGTTAACATTAACTTAACTGTTAATTAATTGTATAATTTGTCGTAATTTATTTTTTCTGACGTTATGCCCAAACTCTATTTCTGAAAAATTGCGCGCCTGTTAACACTTTTTTTTTTTTATTTTTAAAAATTGTACGCTAAAATTCAAAAGTTTTCCTTTTTTTTTTTATTAATTATGCTTTTACCATACTAAAATCGACTCGTTTTGCTAACCTTAAGTTTTTATGTATACTGCATTTAAGTAGATTTATGTTGAGTTAAGTAAATTAATTTTGACTAATTACTTAGAATTTAAAGAGCACTAAACCGAATTGCAACAAAGTACTGTGAGTGAGTGCGTCGAAATAATAAATTACTTTATGCTAAGGTGCATGAGAGAAATAATGAAACATCAGGCTAAGCCCTAGGGCATAGCTCTATGAGCTCTACCAAATGACCTTCTACAAGGTAGCTGGCCCCTTCCAACCAGGCCAGTATCTCCACCAAATTCTTCCTTCACAATCCGAACGAAGTGAAAAAAGTTTGCTCAATGTTTGATTTTCTTTTGGTTCTGTTGATGGATGATCGAAAATATGTTTGAAAACCGATTAAAACTGGGCGCATGTTTAAGAAGCAGAACAGAAATACAATTAATTTAGGAATTTGAAGCGGGCGAAATGCGATTATGCGTCGCGTAGATCGAGAGATAAGAATAATTTAATTATAATTTAAAAAAAAATTTAAGTATTTGTTTGAAATTAGTAAAAGTCATAAAAGTCCAACTTTCAAAGAATGTCAAGTATTTAAAATTTATAAAAAATTGCATCGTTGGGCTTTCCTTTCACGAATCTCTGCCACGCATAAACGCATCCAGCTAAACAATATTACAGGCAGGCAGACAGACAGGGACATATACACAAACATTATTTAAGTCTAGTTTAAGCGAATTACTGTTGTTGTTGTTGCTGTTGTTGTTTCGTAGATTTTGCAAACAAAATCACAAAGTGAAGCAGAAAGCAGATCGGGGTATCCTAAACCACAATGGGCGTGCGTGCATCCAAGGTTTTGCTATCCGTCAGCGTGGAGGACAATGAGCAGGAGGTGTTGTTGTTGTTGTTGTTATTGTTATTGTTACTGCTGCTGGGCTCCTCCTCCTCCTCCTCCTCCTCATTGTTGTTGTGGCCATGCACCTGCACGTGCTCCGTCAGGGTCTGCGGCTCACTGGACACAGACGGCGGCGATTGCGCCGGCGGCGGGGGCGTGTGTATGGCATACAAACAGCTGCTCGATGTGGACGATATGGAGCTGTGGCTGCTGCTGCTGCTGGGCGTTGCCGGCGGCTGTTGTTGCTCCGCCTGCTGCGAATGGAGCTGTGTGATTAGCGTCGCTTCCTCCTCCTCGCTGCTGGTCAGCTCGTTCAGCTCCGCCACGGTGCGATGTATGCGTATGTGCTGCACATCTCCACTCTCCTCCTTGTCCAGTTGGCTATTTAGCTCGTAATACAGCTGCAGGCTGTCATCCACAATGGGCGCAAAGAGACGATGAAATTGACGCAGCAATTCGGCCTCATTACCCAGTTCCACGTGCTCCTGCCCCTCTAGCTCAGATTCCAGTTGCTCCTGCTGCTGCTGCTGCTGCTGCTGCTGCTCTGCTGCTTCTGCTTGATAGAAACTAAAATCAATTGCCTCTTCTACGACCCTTCCATGCTTATCAACAACATTTATTGAGCAATCTTTAACACTTCGTTGACCGCGTCAGACTTTGCCCTTCGGCGATTTGCATTTCGAAGGCGTCGCATTTCCGGTCAACCTAAAGAGAATAAAAGCGGTTGAAATTTATGGAAATTATTAGAAAATCTTTATACAGATTTGTGATTAATTGTGTGGGATTAGAGCTTATGCTTAAGTTTCTCTTTGAATCGGGCACGAGAACATTAACATTAAAAAAAAATAGATAAAATGCATTTCAGTCTCTTATATTGGCTACCCACCCGCTGGAGTCCTCCTTGCCGGTTTGTGTCTGCGCCGTGGACACCGTGTTCTTGCTGTAGGGCGCCTGGAACGAGGTCGATGTGATGGTAAAGTAGCCACCGGGTTTTGGTTTCAGATGCCGGTTATTCATCTGCATGTGCACAGTCTTCATGAACTCGATTTGGTGGGCCAGCTTCTGGATTTGCTCCTGCAAAAACGTGAGTTAAAGTTTAGATATGGTTCAAATAATATTTGCTTAGATTGCTTACCTTGAGTTCCTCGTTCTCCTGGTACAGATCGGGCGACTCTTCGGGCACCAGGCCAACGCCGTTGAGCGAAAAGGATGCGGTTATGCTGCGCACCTTGGCCTTCTGATCCCATTTGTCGCCCTGGCCCTTGAGGACACGCGCAATTTTCGGACCAAAGACCAGGGCAATGGTCGTCGTCGTGGATAGCTGGGTGCGCACAAAGCCCAGCATGTATTTGTAATCGGGTCCAGCATTCGGAAAGAGCATTACACTAAACGGAAGAGAATTTGAATGTTAGAGGAGTGTCGAAGGTAAGGCAAAGGGTAAGCCTAATATCTAAGGCTTAGTATATTACCGATAATACTTTATATATTATTTGGATCATATTTTTTACTTTGAGGGTCAAACATTCTTCACAGTCAGTTATTACCCGGCTTTGCCCGGCCCAAGAATAACGTTGCAATTGAGTTTGAAGCCAATTGGAAAACTGGAAAACTTCGCATTTGAGTACCTGGGGTGGAGTCCCTCTTCCTTTTGAATTCCCCTTAGCAGAAGAGATCAAATCCAGCTTTTTAGAAACTTACTTAGTCGGGACAACAAGTTTTTGCCTTTTAGCCCAAATGTTTTAGCTCTTAGCCAAATCCTAACCTTGCGTAACCGTAAGCCTAAGCCTTCACAAGTGCGCCGGCAATCCTGCGAATCGAACTTGACCTACGACTAAAAATTAGACTTAAATTACGCCGTCGGCGAACAGGGGCAACAAGTTAAGTACTGTATGAAAAAGAAAGTTTAGCAACAAATTGCATTAATTATCAAAACACTTGAAAGGATTTCAATTTGGCAGCTGGCAGCGGGTCGAAGTTGGCAGGAAGCCCGCGCCGAACGTAGAACTTGGCAAAGAAATCCGTGGAATGCCGATGTAAACAAAATGCGGCGAGTAAGAAACAAGCGGACAGAAAGACGACCAGACAGACGGACGACCAGGCAGGCGGGCAGACGTACGGAGCAGACGGAGCGGGGAGCAGACCGACAAAAAGGATTACAACGGAAACGCGCGCGCGCACAAAGTGAAGGAATTTAATTAAAACGGGCATTGCGAAATTGTGGACATGATGTGCTAGCAGATGCCCACGGATTACCCAAGAAAACAACCAAGCCTGCAAGCCCAGCTTGGCTCACGATTCGAACCAACGACTCGTTTTCTACATATATCAAGGCTTGGGTTCGGCAGCTAAACCGGTTCAAGATTGGGTTCATTGGGTTCAGAATATTGCTTAATATATGCCAGAGATGTGGCAGCTGATGGAAGACTTACTGAAATGCCACCATGGCAATGTTCACGATGGCAATGTTGTAGATGGCATAGGAGATGAGACGCGCCTCATTGTAGAGACTCTCCGCGTTGCGGACATTATAACAGACCCGTATGCCCCAGGCCAGAAAGAAGACCTCGCCAATGGCCAAACTGTGATCCCACCAATTGTACGAGCATTGCTTGAACTTAAGATGATGCTGATCGTAGATCTGGAAGCAAAAGAGATGAAACGGGTTGAGAAACTGGCAACAGGATAAACAGTCTCCAAGTTGATAATTATCAAAAACATATGAAGGGATTTTAATGCATTAACGAAATATCTAATGAATCAGGACTTTGAAAATATGTATGAAAAATCCTTTCATTCTTCCTTCATATCTTATACTTACCACCTCAGCATAAGGCGTGGCCGAAATAGTCCAAGTGCCCAGATAGATGAGCATTACGAGCAATATGGGCACCATCCACTGCAACAGCTGCTGATCGTTCAGCTTGATCTTATGGGCCGACTTGACGCGATATGTCAAGGACACACTTAAAAAAAAGAAGGCACTGATTATGAGAGAGAGAGAGAGAGAGATCAACTTACCGCCAGGTCTTCATCAGCAGCGAGGTGTAGGTAATGCAGAAGCCCATGTGACGCGTCCACTTGGTGGCAATGCACCAGGTGGTGTCCAGGTATGGAAAAATTGCGACCATCTGTAAAATATTAAAAGGGATTTGATTTCGATTTATAACGACCTTCGCACTTTAATTAAAGGAACAGGAGAACCAGGAGCTGCTGCAAGTGCCACTCAAAGTGCCCTTAAGTTGACAGCGGATATGCCCAGAAGGCAGTTGACAGGTGGCTCGGTCAATGGGTGGAAAAGTCCACCTGCCTCTTTGGAAGCAATTTGAGCAAAGAGGAACTTGAGCTCGCAATTTATTAATTTTATATAACATTAATCAAGCTCGTGGGGTTCAAACTCCAGGTTTGTTGAATACGACTTTAAAAGTGGTTCGCAAAATGAACTAGTTAGGCTGAAAGCTGAACTAGTTCTAATTAAGTCTATTACTGGTTCCATTTTAACTGCAGCTACAAATTTCTTTATCATAAAAAATCACTAAATCGTTTAAATACAGCACAAAAATCCGTTTAAAGACAAATTAGGTAGAAGATCTAGCTCCACTTTTTATCTTTCCCTGCGACGACCTTGGTGGTTCCCCATTGTTTGAATCTTCATTTCCATTTTGCTTGCTGCTCTTTTTTGTATCCTCATTTCCACTTTGCTTGCTGCTCCTCTTTGATCCCTCATCGCCGTTTCGCTTGCTGCTCCTCTTGAAATCTTCATCGCCGCTTCGCTTGTTGCTCTTCTTTGAATCCTCATAGTCACTCAGCATGCTGCTCCGCTGTGAATCTTCATAATCACCTTGCTTGCTGTTCCTATTGGACTTGGCGGCAGCTGCGACAGGTGCTTCCTTTAGCGATGGCCTGGTAAGCGGAGTCATGCATTGGTTGCAGTCCTCCATGCCCGGAGTGTACTCCTCGATCTGTATGGTGGTCTCAAAGAAGTTGTAACGCTTGTGAATCAAGGTGGTGGCCTTCTCCAGAATGATCTGAGGATCGGCATCCTTGCTGATGGCCAAATGGGCGGAGAGCGCTATCTTGTTGATGCTCAGCGCCCAGATGCGTAAATTGTGGACATGCTCGACTCCTTCGATGCTAAGGAATGTGCGCTGCACCTCGCCATAGTCCATATAATCGGGCGTGGCCTCCATGAGCACCATCATGACATCCCTAAGGATGCGCAGCGTGACCAGCAGGACAATAAACGAAAAGACAAACGTGCAAATGGAATCGACAAACGCCCATTCGGGCTTAAAGAAAATAATGCAGGCGGCCAGAAAGACGCCAAAGCTCTGAATTATATCGCCAACCACATGGATATAAGCGGCTCTCACATTTATGTTCTCAGTAGGATGGTCCGTACATTGTCTGGACACCGAGGCTGGCATCAAATGTTGCGCCTTGCTGGTGTCCTCAATGGCCGTCTGGTGGGAGGCATGCGCATGCAGCCGGGGCTCCCGATTGGCCTGCGCGGACGAGTGTCCGCCATGCGAATGACCATGGCCCAATTGGATGGCCATAATGAAATTGACAACAATTGCCAAGGCGGAGGTAATCAACATTATGCTGGCGTTCACATCGTGTTTGCCCGTGATCAGTCTGTCCACGGCCAGCCAGACAAGTATGCCCGTAATCACCCAGATGAAGTAGACGGAGAGCATGGCGCCAATCACCTCGGCGCGATACCAGCCAAAATTCAAGCGCTGCGTCGAGGGGCGGGCGCTCAGATAGAGGGCGAACAGCGAAATGAGGAAGCCCGCCAGATCGGTCAAGAGATGAGCGGCATCTGTGGCTATGGCCAGGCTGCGTGAGAGTATGCCGCCAATGATCTCGCAAATCATAAAGGATAGGCACAGGATGCTGGCCACGATCAGCTTGCGCCTGGCCCTCTTGTCCATGCCCTCGCCGTGACGCTCGTAGTGGCAGTGATCCCGATAGGTGGTCGTTATGTGCGAGTGTCGTCCAATTATTGTCAGGGTGCGCATCGATTCCGAGTGCTCCAGCTGGCCGGTCTTCTTCTCCTCCTCCTTATCCCTGACCTTATCCACTTTATCCACAACAATCACCTCGCTCGGCATGCGACTGTTCTCCGTCAATGGATGCACCGCATCTTTGGCCAGGTTAGGCTCAGCCACAGTATCCTGTGATCCCGGAAACAGGTAACGCATCAAGTTGCTTGTCAAGGAATTCTTGTCGGGCAAATCGGCAACTTCAGCTCTGGCCTTGTCCGAACCCTGCTCCTCGGCTGGCGGCATTGTTGTAGAAGGCGTAAAGCCTGGACTAACTGAAGTCTTGCCAGCGGCATATGGAATGGGTGGCACCTGGCTAGCGGTAACCACCTGACGCAGTGCAGCACCAGCCTCTTTGGGCGCACGGGCACGCACACAGCTCGAGCTGATGGTGTCGGTAATTGCAAGAGCGGAGTTTGAGTCACCAACTGCTTGGATATCTTCCGCCATGTCCTCACTTTTAACCAGGCTTCCAGTTATTAATTGAGGTACACTTGTAGTTGGAGTCATCTCCTTAACAGCTGGCGTTTCCAGGCGAAGATTAGGAGCAATTGCATCCATTGAAATGACCCCATCAGCTTTTGGGTCGTCTGGCTCTGCTCTGGTAGTCTCTGGCTTTTCACTTGACACGAGTCTAGCTCGTCCAAAGTGTGGCAAACGCGAAAAAAATGTTGCTGCTGGCTCCATTGCAGTTTTTTCGGTGCCAGCTGCTGGATTAGTTGAGGAAACTGTCTCTTCGGGCACATTACCAGCCCGATTGGCCGAACTGCCAGCTGCGCCTGTTGTTTCGGACTTGTTGGCTACCACCTCCGCAGACCCTGGCGGTTTAGTTGGAGATGCTTTTACGGAGGTCTCCATTGGGTCTGCCAATTCCTCGGGCGCTGGACTGGAGTTCGGGGCTGTTTGAGCTCGTCCGAAAAATGGCAAACTGCGAAAAAAGGCAGTTGGTGCTGTGGTCTGTGAAACTGTACTGTCATCGGCAGCTTCTCCGAGATTATCTGAACCGTTGGCCGCGGGCTCAGCAGATGCTGTTCGGGCTTGATTAACAGCTTTAACAGCTCGCCCGAGTATATTTATATGGCTAAGAAGCGCAGCGGATGTCTTTTCTATTAAGGAGTTCACCGTATCTTGGGCCGCGTCTGAATTGGTGAAGTTAGTCGCAGACTCTTGAGCTAAATTGGTGTCCATTGCCTCCGCAGTCGACGCAGCTTCATTTTTCGCTGGTCTAGCTCTACTGAACGAAGGCGAATTAGCAAAAAAATTAGCGGCTGAGGTCTTCTTATCCTTCGGATCGGCAGACTCTAGCTGACCAGCTGCACTCGTGGCAACGCTCGTGGCAACTGGTTCAGTTGCGCCCTGTTTATCTCGACCGAATTGGGGTATATTATTAAAAATGCTTGGCTTTTGCTCTTGTTGCCTTGGCGTTAACATGTCTTCACTGGTCGGCTGTACATCGCCTGGCTCGTAGTTCAGAGCCCGTCGAATTGGCACCGTCAGAATGTTTATGGAACCCGGTTGTCGTTCCTGCTCAGCTGGCTGGGCTGCTGGCAAGGACTTGACTGCCACCAACTCGGTGGACGCCGGGGATGCCACCTTGACTGGCGTTTGGCTGCGAATTACGAGCTCTGCTTCGTTCTGTGCCTTGGCCTGATAATAGGATTTGGGCTTGGAGGCAGCCTCAATGCGCTGCAATCTTTGCTGCTCTTCTGTCGTTATCTGCTCCGGCAGCTCCGCTAGGGAAGTAATCTGAACGTAAACTGGTTGCATCACATTTTTGCTTGCATCTGACGTTTTGAGCCTGTCGGCCCAGGTGTCATTCTGCTTGGGTATTGCTTCGCTGGCCTTCTTCTTCAGCTTGTCTCCCCAAGTCTCGGATTGCTTGGGTACTTCCGGGGTTCGCTTCTTAAGCTTATCAGCCCAAGTCTCTGACTGCTTGGATGTCTCCTCGGTGTCCTTCTTTTTGTGCATATTTGTCGAGGGCTTAGCTGCTAGCTCGGCGCTGCCCTTCTTGAGTTTATCTGCCCAAGTCTCGGACCGCTTGGGAGATTCTTCGGTTCCTTTTTTCTTGAGCCTATCTCCCCAAGTTTCCGACTGCTTGGGAACCTCATCGTGGGCTACCCTCACCTTCTCCGAATGCTTTGGCTTGTCTTCCTGTGTCTTCTGCCTGTGCGTGCGCAATGCCCTAACGTCTTTGTCGCCAATTAGCGCCGAGGTTCCCGATTGAAGTCCCACATCGGACACATTCTTGACCCACCTATCTTTCGTTTCTGGCGACGCGTTCTTTTTAAGATTATCTATCTGGCTTGCAATATGGCGTGGCTCTTCACGATGGCTCGTTCGAGTCTGCCGCGGCTCAATATCTGGTATCTTAACCATTTCACGTAGTGCGGCCTGCATGGCTGCCTCATCCTCGCTTTCGTTTTCGCTCTCGCTGGGATGGGGCAAATTTCCGCCACGCTCCGTTGTTCGTTTGTTGTCGCTCATGCTACAGATTTTATGCTCCTTTATTTTACACTCAAACAAACTCTGATTAGAAAATCAGTTACATTTATTAGTATACGATACGCATTGAAGCTCCCAAGGCTGCCATAACAACCGCTCCCAACCCGCCCAAACAACCCCTTAACCCATTTGTTGTGCTTGTCGCTTGCTGTTACTCCTAAGTTGGCCATTGTTCTCACGGCATTTATGTGTCCGGTGGGGCTTCCATTGTCGTTTTGCTAATGTTGACAGCATAATTGTAAACAATACGAGGAGAACCTGTGAATATTTAGCTAATGTTTGTATACCCTGCGTGCAACCAGATTAGATGACACTTCTATAATAAGAGAGCGAATATTTATAAAAAAAAAACATATTACAAAATATTTTATAAGTAATATGCCATATTGGATTCATAGTTTTAAACGTATCTTCAAAGCTGCAAATGTCGTGACAGTAAGAAAATGATAGGCTGTTATTAACATTTGGTACGCTATGTAAAGCAGCTTAATAAGCCCTTCTTCCAAGCTATGTTAGGTAACTACAGCTAAATAACATTTTAAGTAGCTATGGCTACATCCATCTGTTATTTTCGTGTTAACCATTTAATAACATTGAATGTTAAGTGGCTGTGATAAAATGATAGGCTGTTATTTACATTTTGTACGCTATGTTAAGCAGCTATGTAAACTACGCTTAATAAGCACTGCTGCTCCTGCTATGTTAAATAGTAGAAATGCTGTTATTTTAACATTTCAGCCACATAAAGCTAACAGTTTAAAAGCACTTTAAGGTAAACCTATTTAATCAGTTAGCCACAATTTCATTAACCCTTTGCAGTTACAAACGTAGTATTAAAAGCTCAAATGCCGCCACATAGGCAAGTTCCTAAAAGCCGCATTTAAAAGGCCATAAAAAGGAGTTTTATGTTGCGTTTGCCACAGGTGGAGCATGCGCTGCTTGGGACGGGCTCTAGCATGTGGGTCAATTGTAAATGAGACCTTTTGTCACATTAACAGCAGCTGCCATTGTCGTCTCATTCATTCGTAATGGCCTTTGTGTGTTGCATGGCATTTAATGGGTTAAGTAGCAGGCCGAGTGAAAGGCGCACATCCAAAATGGGTTAACAACTCACCTCCAGATACATAATGGCACAGCCGATGAGCGTGATCATCAGGAATATGGGACTGGCCACCTTGAAGACTTTGACGCGCCGATGTCGAAACAGATAGCACAGCAGCACAAAAGTGCCGCAGGCGCACCCAATCGAAATGGTCAACAGGGATATTCTGTGTGGGCAGTTTAAATATATATATATATTATATAGCCATAGATGGTCTAGTCCAAACTCACCTGAATGGCCAATGATAATTGGCCAGACAGGGCTCGGGCCCGGTGCAGGTGTCGCAGCCGGGTGCGCAAGGCAAACACTTGAATACGTCCGTATAGTAATTGCTTATATTGTCCTGATGCTCCTGCCAGGCAATCTCCATGATGGTGCCGTTGAAGCCATCCGGATGCCGCAGCGAATAAAAGCCGCGCTTGCACAGGCATTGATAGGCGCCACGTGACCAGCTGCTGCCGGACATGGCCGCCAATATTTTGCCGCTGCTTATTGTCGGCGCCTCCGCGCTCGGCTGGCGATAGTCGCACTGCAGTCAATGGTTAATTAATTAAAGCAGAGCTACGACAATCTTGGACTTACCACCATGGAGGCGCGATGGCATTTGTGCGAGCTGTGAAACGCCTGCAAATCATTTATGGTGTCCACATCGTTGGCACTACCCAAGGCGGCGGCTGCTGCCGTGGCGCGTCGCGCCGGCTGCCTTTGCCGCATCAGCAGCTGTTGCTGGCTGCCAAAGCGATAGGGCGACGCGTCGCACTGGTTGACCCGCAGCGAGGTCACGTCGATGTCCACGCTGATGAATCCCCGCAATCCGTGCCGTCCGCTCGGCGGTATGGCGATGCTGTACGAGACGAGCCACTTGCTCAGCGCGCACGAGAAATACGGATAGGTCCACCAGCCCTTGTAGTAGTTATTCGGCGGGCTCGGCGCAAATTTCGGGGAGCGCAATGTCGGTGTGCTGCTCTCGTCATCAAACCTGTCAAAATAGGCAAATCAAAGTTAGGCGAGAATGGTTGACTAGCTGATACCCTCTAACTTGTTAGGGAAACCCAAGGTCGTTAGCTCTTATACAAATTGAGGGACAGACGATGCCTGTTATATACACTCGCCCGGCTTGGCGATACCCTTTGATTGTTTTATATCGAGAATGATTGACTAGCTGATACCCTTTACTCTTTTTCAGGTATATCGCTTATTCCAATGGGGAGACAGAAGATGCCAGTTCTATACACTCGCCCGGCCTGGCGATACGCTCTGATTGATTTATACCGAGCATGATTGACTAGCGGATACCCTCTACCTTCGAGGGAAACTTAAGCTCTACAGCTCTTAAACCAATGGAGAGACAGACGATGTCTGTTATGTACACCCGCCCGGGCTGGCGATACCCTTTGATGAATTTATACCGATAATGATTGACTAGCGGATACCCTCTACCTTCGAGGGAAACTTGAGCTCTACAGCTCTTAAACCAATGGAGAGACAGACCTTGCCTGTTATATACACTTACTCAACTTGAAGATACCCTTTTATTATAGTCAAAGTCAATGCGTACAGGGTACACATGACAGAAAGGCAATATTGTGGTGCCTTCCACTTACCAGGGATAACTGTGAGCAGGCTTTTTGCCAATTTGCAGGCCCTCCTCCTCGTAGCGCTGCGTCTCGTGACCGCTCTTCACCCACCAGACGTACGACTGAACCGCGCCGTTGGTTAGGTTCAAAGCTAAAATGCGTGCACCATTTATGTATTCATCCGTGAGCAAGCCCTTGGCCAGCGCATCCGAGAGCCCTATAAAAATATGTTGGCAATATTAAATGCAAATATGTATGTGTGTTTGTGTGTGTGTGTGCAAATCGTGAATGTGGGTCAGCGCGCAAGTGAAATGAAAATAATTTAAAATCTGCTACGGAAATGAGGAAATGAAATGCGGAAACATGAAAACGTACAACCAGACCTAGTCGAAAAACAGACGGACAGCAGACATACTCATTAAAATTTCACTTACGGCGATTAATTGGTTTAACAAACGTTTCAATTTTAATTATTTCTTTATTCAGCTGCGATAAACGTTATTTTTTTTTCCTTTTCAATTTGGATGCATGCCAATGCCGTTATTGAATAATTAACTTTTCCCTTTACCCCTTCCACAACGCCTGCATTTTTGCTGATAAGCATTGCGCAATTCGCCTTCGCTGACTCAGTGCACGGTATTTTGGCGACATTCGCTTTTTCGCCGTGCAACGCTGGAAGGTCGCTGCTTACTTTGCCTAACTAATTGGTTCACTATTTGCCTTGCCTTTTGCGGCGAAACTCAACTAACGAGCAGCTCTTTCGGCCAATTGGGTCATCCCAATTATCTGGCCAATTTTTGTTTGTCTCAACATTTGTGCTGAGTTTTTAATAATAGGTCTACAATTGTTATTGTAGGCTTATTAAATGCAATTCGCCGCAGCGGCGAAAAGAAGATCGGAAAAAACGTATGCAAGTCGAACGAAAACAAATGTTATTGTAAAATAAAAAATAATTAAAAATGTTGAATGCATTATTCAAACAATATATTTGAATTGTTTAATCAGCAAATGTGCTGAGCTGTCATTGCATTGTGTATTTGTGCATAAGTCTTTAACAAAGTATTTAAAAAAAAATAAAGTAGCTGTCATTGCAAGTAAGTTTAATTGTATGCAAATTACACACAGCATATAAAACATGTAATCAATTTTGAGCCTGGGCAATGTTGTGCATAAAAAAATATCCGAGTGTTTAATTGCGGAAATTACAAAAAATTTGTTGGTACATTTAATTTAGGCTCAACTATCATCGCGCTGCTGACCTTGAAATAGTTTTGTGCTATGGCAAAAGCCCATTGAAAGAAACACTGAAACTGCCCTTGGTAGAAAAAATGTCGGCAGCAATGATTAATATGCGCGACGGGTGCATAGCTACCGCGCCCCCGCAACCGCAGCCCTCTGACCAGCTTGCCGAGTGTGCAGGGTCGCTGTTGGTATTTGTGGATGGGTGGATGGGTGGCAGGGCGGTATGGTGGCTGGTTGTCAAAAGTTAATATTTTTTCTGCCGCACTTGCCTGGGCAGCCGCATTTCTGTTTGCTCGCTGCGAAGCGAGCGGAAACAAAAGCAGAAACTGTTTACAAAGTAAACTTATTTAAATTCGATTAGCGCAACTTCCGTGGCACTTTCTCTGCGTGCCCCATTTCTTAAATATACTCTTACAACGAATATTATTGCTTAAATTTATCGTTGATTTCGTGGCTTTTAAACTACTGAGAAAGGAATTCGTTGAGGTCGGGGTGAGCAATACGATTTTGTGTAACAGTTGAATTTAATTTTGAATACTTTTAAAAGAATTTATAAATTTAAAAAAATTATAATTCAAGAAACTTGCAACAGTTGAATTAATGTTGAATACTTTTAATAAAATTTATAAATTTATAATAAAAAAAAAGAATTTATAATTTAACAGCATTTGAATTTAAGAAACTTCAAAATGTTGTTAAGTTAAAAGACTTTATAATTTAATTATTTAAAAAATAATTTATAATTGAAAAGAATTTGTAAATTAAGAAATTTTGAATACTTCTAAATCTAATTATGTTGGAGAACAAACAAAATTGCCCATTTGCCATGATCTTCCATGGTGTTATATATTGTAGGGTCTTGTGACTTCGACTCGCTGAGGATTGTCCTTCCTTATATATTTTGATTAGTATGTAACATGCTTTGCCACTGCTGCTTTAGAGTTGTTTCTGCTTTGTTGCCGGCCCATAAAGCAAATACGCGGCAGACGAACGTTTGCGGGCAGCAGCGGCGGCAAATGTGGCAAGTTTCTTGTGCGGGCGTTGCAAGTGAGCTATGGACAGTCGTGACAGTCGTGGGCGGACGTAGTAGTGGCCCCACCATAAACACAGCGTTGCTCTGGCCAAGTTGCGTCAAAGTGTTGCCACAAGTTCAAACATTTGCGACGGCTGCGAATGTGGCAGGCAGCCTGAAATTGTGGCAGGCTAACCTTATGGTAAACAACATTAGCCAATGCCTGTCGACCGGCTTAGACGCTCACCTAACACAGCACACACACACACACACATACAGGCACACATACAGGCACACTCTGTTCTAGTTGTAGTCGTATGTGTTATAGCCATGTTTGTCATTCATCATCTGCGTGCGATTTCTTGCACTCGGTTCGCATCATCAATCTTTAGCTTCAGAATTTATAGCCACCGAAGAGAGTGGAGTGTGTGCGTGTGTATCTAAGTGTGTGCGTGCGCCTGCTGCCAAGTGTTGCAAGTGTTTTGTGTGTAGGTGTCAGACATAAACATGCGCAACTTGCACAATTGTGTCCAATTTGTTTTTGGCACAAAACTTTTGCTTAGCTATGTATGTAAAATTGTCAATTATTCAACTCGCACACATCCACAACATTTTTGGTGTGTATTTTTCCAAGGTGCGTGTGTGTGTGTGTGTCTTTGTTCTCGGCTGAGTAATTATATTTACCAGAGATTCGGTTTGCCCAAAAACCATTCAAATTCCATTTTTTTTTTGCTGGAACACAAAAGCTGCTCGCTTTGGTTATTGAGCTGAAAACATTTTCTGTGCTCTGCAATTTATTTGTCACTGCGATTTGTGTTAAGTGCGAGTATCTTTTATACCCTTGCAGAGGGTATTATAATTTTGTCGTGAAATGTGTAACGCATATATATTCTTGATCAGCCTAGTCGTTATAGCCATGTCCGTCTGTCCGTCTGCCGGTCTGTCTGTTTCTATACGAACTAGTCCCTCAGTTTTAAAGATATCTTTATGAAACTTTGCAGAAGTATCTCTTTCTGTTGCAAGCAGCACAAATGTCAAAACTGGATCGGACCAGTATATCATATAGCTCATCAGTCGAAAATTAAGTTGTTTAGGTTAAAAAGATGAATATCAAAATTTTGACCCAAATCGTCAAAATGGCAAGGGGATACATCAGGTTTTTTTTTTTCAAAATCCGGGTTGTTTCGAAAATCGAATCTTTTTCGATGATTTTTTTTTTTTTTGAATATCTCGGGTAAATATTGTCTGATTTTTAAATGTTATACCTTTTTTAATTCGTACGGATCCCTACTATCAAATGGCATTCAAATAAATTACAAATCGGTCGGTTTGTTGACCAAAAACCGATTCGTTCGTAAAGCATACCTTTTTGATGATTTTTTTGAGTATCTCGGCCAAACCATTGTTTGTCCGATTACTTCATGTTTTGTCTATATTTTGAACGACGACTTTTTCTAATATTTTTAATATATTTTATTTCAGGTAAACTTCACAAAAGGGAGGACAGAAGGAAATAAGCTGCAAAAGACCAGACAAAGCTTACGTGGGCAACGCCGGATAATACCCGCTTAGTGTAGATACATAAAATAAAAACTTATTGTTCAAATGCTGTAAAACATACATTTATTTAAATAACTATATAAATAATAATTAAGCAATGAATATATGATGTTATGAAACATAATAAATATATTGAAAAATAAATAAATTCTGATGTTTTTATTATGTGGAATTTTTTGGGCAGCTTCGGTGAGTAATTCGAAAGAGTCGACGCTCGGCTAAAAATAGTCTGATTTTCGTTATTTAAACGTTGGAGATATGTCGTTTCAAAACGACATATCTTATTTTCGTTATTAAAACGGCGGAGATATGTCGTTTCAAAACGACATATCTTATTTTCGATATTTAAATGGCGGAGATATGTCGTTTCAGAACGACATATCATATTTTCGTTATTAAAACGTTAGAGATATGTCGTTTCAGAACGACATATCTTATTTTCGTTATTAAAACGTTGGAGATATGTCGTTTCATATCTTATTTTCGATATTTAAACGGCGGAGATATGTCGTTTCAAAACGACATATCTTATTTTCGATATTTAAACGGCGGAGATATGTCGTTTCAAAACGACATAACTTATTTTCGTTGTTAAGACGGCGGAGATATGTCGTTTTGAAACGACATATCTCCGCCGTGTTGATAACAAAAATCAGACTATGTCGTTTCAAAACGACATATCTTATTTTCGATATTTAAACAACGAAGATATGTTGTTTCAAAACGACATATCTTATTTTCGATATTTAAACGGCGGAGATATGTCGTTTCAGAACGACATGTCTTATTTTCGTTATTAAAACGGCGGAGATATGTCGTTATTAAAACGTTGGAGATATGTCGTTTCAAAACGACATATCTTATTTTCGTTATTTAAACGGCGGAGATATGTCGTTTCAAAACGACATATCTTATTTTCGATATTTCAACGGCGGAGATATGTCGTTTCAAAACGACATATCTTATTTTCGATATTTAAACGGCGGAGATATGTCGTTTCAAAACGACATAACTTATTTTCGTTGTTAAGACGGCGGAGATATGTCGTTTTGAAACGACATATCTCCGCCGTTTTAATAACAAAAATCAGACTATGTCGTTTCAAAACGGCAGAGATATGTCGTTTCAGAACGACATATCTTATTTTCGTTATTAAAACGTTGGAAATATGTCGTTTCAGAACGACATATCTTATTTTCGTTATTAAAACGTTGGAGATATGTCGTTTCAAAACGACATATCTTATTTTCGATATTTAAACGGCGGAGATATGTCGTTTTAAAACGACATAACTTATTTTCGTTGTTAAGACGGCGGAGATATGACGTTTTGAAACGACATATCTCCGCCGTGTTAATAACAAAAATCAGATTATGTCGCTTCAAAACGACATATCTTATTTT